TACCACAAGGCCGGCAGAACGAAGACGCTGGGATAAGTAAACCCCATACACAGCCAGCGCCGGAAGGTTGTGAATGCTGTCAAGAATCGCATTTCTCCGTCAAGGAGGAATCTCGAGCAGCAGCTGAACGCGTACGGCTCCCAAAACACCTGGTAAGTACCCGATCTCTACTTCCCTGCTCAGAGATCCCTGGGAAGCTACCTTGAAATAAGCCCATGCTCCCTTGCCGGTGTAGGAAGACTCAACTTGGGGATGGGGGCCGGGGATCTTGCAATCCATGCATCTTCGTCACTTGTCGGAGCGTATGACAGTACCCGAAATCCGAACCTCCACGTTCAGTTTCGGTCTCCCAAACATCCTGTCGATTCACTGCCAATTCCACTCGAATACATACTTATAATCGGCATGGTAAAAGTCGACTACATCTACCGCTGCATCAGCACGCCAACCAAGCTTCCGAGAATAGGGCACGCACCTGATTCTGGCATTCCGCTCAATAGCCAAGACGCAGCTATTCCTGGTTGAGCTTATCGCAGACCGTCAGCATGAGTGCTCGTGGCTCAACCAGAACCAGACGGGGTGCAAGTTCCACAGTGGGAGGGGGTAGAATGGCTCTGCAGAACGAAGGTCTCGTCTTTTCGGATAGGGCAAGTCTGGATCGATGGTGGAAAGCTTCGATTATCTGGTGACATACAGCGGAGTATGTAGAATTACCTATGGTACTTTTCGGAAGCAGATGGACTGAAGAAAGGGACATGACAAAACAGTTCCACAGGTCTCTTCAAGATGGAAGGGAATAATCGAAAGGATGCAGATGCACAAGTCTTGCGTTCTGCCTGGCTTCTAGCGCAGTATCTGAGAGTGAGATTCGAATGTAGGAGACGGGTCTAGATCAGGGGAAGGCAGACAGGCCGGATGGTTGAGCGTCATTGGTTGAGGCAGGGTTGTGTAGGGCAAGTCAAATGATCCAGATGATCAGAAGGATCTTGGGATGTAGGTATAGGATATTGAAGAGTAGAGTACTGGATACAGAAGACTTGATGTAGAGCCAGGGTGTAGAAACAAGTAGGACATGAAGACAGAAGCTGTTGAAGACAGGAAGGAAGACAGTTGAGAAGATGGAAGTGGAAACGAAACTGAGAAGGAGGGGGGTTTTATGCTAGACCAAGCTGGCTGGCCAGATGGTAGTGAATACTCATCAAGCCGTCGACGTGAATGATTCTATTGTTCTGACTATTCACAGACTGGGGTATCCATCTTTTGTGAAAGCTGTTGAGGTATATTCAACGCACAGCAATACAATATTGAATGGATTCCATGGAAGGGTCTGTCCATCTTTGCGACAAGTCATAATAGTTTTCTTCAATATGTACGGAGTACAATGTGCCTCATTCACCCTTGGACTGAGCAATGTCTATCCTTCCTGGCCATTAGTTGCTCACATAGAGAGGATCATCAGGAGGGACGAACCTAATCATATGGTTGTGCATGACAAGATCTAGATCGCCGGAACTGGACCGAAAGCCCACACAACATTCGCCACCGTAATCCCATGACTCGATGCCGGCCGCAAAATTGCATAATAATTAGACTCTCACCCTACATTATGTTTATAGACAGAAATGATAGCTGAATGATAGACTAATATTCATGAGTTCAATTAATATATGACACACACGAAAACAAAATGCCAACGCTGTATATCATGACTCATGCAAAACCCGAAATGCTCCCTGATGCTTGCTATACCCAGACAAATAATTCTGAAACCAAGAAAAATCCACACCCGTCAAAAGTTCAAACTCCTTCAATGATAATCCTCCCCTCCAATCGCGGAGAAATCCCCGGCGTCCAGTTCGGGGTGAACCCTCCCAGCTCTTCCGAATCGTTGATCGGAGACGGCTGCAGCCCGGCCTTGCGCATCCAGAGCCGAGTCACCTTGCGGGCAAGCCGCAGACGATGTTCCTCCTCCGTAGCCGACTTCGCCGGGTGAGTGACATAATTGGTGATCGGCTGTGGCGACGTCAACACCTCAGGGTCGGTGTCGGAGTCCGAATCCAGCGAGGCCTGGTCAGATCTCTCTGACTCAGAGGAGTCGCTGGGGGAATAGCGTCCGTAGTAGTATTTCTGCTTCGTGCGGTTCAAGGTAGGTCGCTGGACGTGGTACGGCACTTTCTCCGATGAGGGTGATACCTGGGTCGAGGGAGCTTTCAGCCATTCGTCTCTGTGCAGGTTCTTGTGCACTGTGCCCCAGTGGCGCGTCAAGCTCTGGCTCCATCGCTGCCATTTCCCCAGGACTTTCAGACTAAGGAAGTACTGACGGAGCAGGGTGCTGATGAGGATGCCGCTTTCCTCGTCAACCACCTCTTCTACTTCGCCACCCTCTGACTGCACGAGCAGTGACGCAAATCCGTCTTTGCCACGACCCATGTAGCCACGGGTGGCAAGCAGGTAGCTTTGGCCAAAGTCAATGGGCTGCCCACCAATTTTGGCCCAGTTAATCCGCGAGCCGGGCGGCGAAGATGGGTTGTAGCTGAATGAGATGTTCGACACCTGCGGGAACCGCCCCTCCAACGCGGGAAGCTGACTGACTCCATTCTCCAAGGCATCGAAGAGCGCTTGGCCTTTGATGCGGAGGAGAACGACAGGGTCCTCGAACGGAAAGCAGTTAAGAATATCCTTCACCTTCAACACCCCGGGCTGGTAGATCTGATCGCCCCGAATAGTCCCACCAGCCATCATCGCGCAGTCGGCGCCATAGTAGAACCGCATGAGATCGCAGGCGAAATTACCCAGATTCGACTCTCGTTGACGCACGGTGGAAAATCGACCGTCCAGCGGCCGCGTAGTGTATCCAATAGGCTTCTCCAACTTGGCCTTCAAGCTCGACGTCAACCGGCCAACCATGGCCCTAGCGGACGGATCCTCAGGGATTGATCGAACCAGGTCTCTGCGCACGATATCAAAATCCCATCCCGCGCCGTCTGCCTTCCGCCAAGCTTCCAAATAGCTCAACTGCTTGAAATCGGTACCCGACCGGAGAATATGCACCCCGTTGACTACAGCATGTGCATAGAAGTGGTCGTGACCCCCCAGAATAATATCCACCAGCCCCGGTGTCAGATTCTCAGCCAACTTATAATCATTCGGTTCGCGTTGATGGGTGACAGCGACGACGATATCCGCCCCTTGCTCGCGCAGCCGGGGCGCAAGCTCCAACGCCGTCTTCGACGCCGACTTGTAAATTAGATCCGGTGGTAGGGCATTAATCGTTCCCAACCTAAATCAGCGAACATGCACCATGGTCAGCAAATATGACCTCTCAAGTAGCGGTGTATGCACCTGTGTCAGCGCGGATGCAAACGTACCATTCCCTCTCCCCAAGCCCAATCACCCCGACCTTGATCCCATTCGATGCGGTCAGCATCACGGTCTTCTCACAGTCAGCGATGGGGACATCCTCCCCCAGCGCCGGATCGATAACATTGGCCAACAACCAGGGAAACTGGCATTGTGTGCGTAGATGGCGGAATTGCGTGACTCCGAAATCGAGATCGTGGTTCTAAACCCGGCAGGTGAGTTGGTCAGCTTATCTCGTATTCCGCACCAAATGGCCTGACTGAGCTCTCGTATTCCACCACTATCCAAGCTTGCCCAGCCCACCTTGAAAACATCAACCAGGAAAGTGAAACATACCCCAACACAAGCAACATCCGTCCCAATCTTATTCAGAAATGGCACCATATGCTTGCCCTTCGTGACCGAACTCTCCAGACTCGGGTTGTAAGCATCGCCGGAGAAGAAGGTAAGCACGCCGGGCTGGCCGGCAAAGGCGGGATCGGAGCGATAGTAATTAGCGACAGACTGGAAGCGCGGGACGCCGCCTACGGGCTCGGCGGAACCTGGTCTATGGGAATCGGCTGAGTGTTAGCGACATATTCTCTGTGGTCGGGATGTCCACCTCAAGGTGCAATGACAACTTACTCTACGTGGTAGACATCGTTGTAGTGAATTAATCGGAGATCCGGCGGGCCTGTTCGGCCACTAGTATGGATGACGGAGAACCCGTCATTTGCGACAGCTGACATGTCTTGATTTGTGTGTATGTGTATGTACAAACAGAGGTAAAGACAGACAAGAGAGCTGGAGGAAAATTCACGAGTCCAAACACTGAACGAAGAGTAAGAGCGAGAGAGAGAGAGAAAGAGAGAGAGAGAGGAGGGAGTAGAAGGTAAAGGGGAGACTGTGTACAAGTACTCGGTACAAGGACAAGGAATGGGGGGGAAAGGGACCCAGTGACGCAGTTACGCTGGGTCTGGCACCACGCCAGGCATTAAGGCATCCATGCAGGCACCCGGAAAATGCGGAGGTCGCCGGCCAATCACTCCACCACGATTGGGCACACGGGATCGACGCCGCGGTGGCGGAAAGACAGAAACACAGCGGAGTCATTCTCAGGGCTCGCTGAATGCTGAATCCCTGGATCCGAGGATCCGATTGTCCTCACAACCTTGCAATTGAGTCATCGCATTTACAAAATCTGGCGCAGAGTTGACAGCGTCGACAGCGTCCAAGCAGAGTCGTAGTATCCGCCACATTCTGCTACCACCCACTCCATGTGATGATGTCCTGGTTCGGTCGGTAAACACCGCCCCACATTCCCTCCCATCCCTGAAGTGATCACATGCCCGCCCGCCTTGGCTTATCAGCCCGTCAATAGCCCGATAACTTATCGCCTATCGATCATCCACACTAGTGCTTCTAAAGATAGCCGATACGCAAGGGCGTCTGGTCTCAATAATGAGTGAGCTCCCTTCTACAACGAGTTCTGACGGAGTTCCGGAGTATCTGTCCTCAACAACAGCAGAGTCATCGGCTAGAATGAGCCCTGTCAGATCCTACGTTGCGTTGCAGCTCAATCAGAACTCTAAATGGGAACCATCCCGCTTCAGCTGAATGCAATAGACTGCATGCGCTGACGTGTATTCCGCCGATTGCAATGACACGCTACATGGCATAAATAATCATTGTTGCCCAAATACAATTCTAGCTACCTGTTCGCCGCAGAAGAAGCTTGCAAGAAGCAAAAAAATGCCACGGAACTGAAAGGAAAGAACAGGTGGCAAACTGAAATACAGCATTATGGAGCATGCGAAGTGCACCTCGTCTTCCATACTCATCACAGGGCAATCTGCACACTTTCGCGTGTCCCGGGTCACATAGAAGGGGTATATGGTCATAACATGGTAGGGTGGGAGGTGACAGACACATCTGAATCTGGATCTGCCCACGGTCATCGGCTTATTTCATCAATCATTTCCATATCATGAGGCTGTGTCGGGCTCAAGCCCAGGAAGCCGTGGATGCAGCCGTATCCGGATAGAGATTCTCAATCCACCGGTACAAGTCCGTGCCGTCATCAAGGGTCACATTTTCGCCGTTCAGCCAGTTGGTTGCCAGAACATCGGCGGGCAAGGTGGCAGGCATCGGGGATGCGTTGACCGTGAGGACCCGATCCAGAATGTTGGAGATGACCTTCCGTGCACGCTGGCAGACATCGTACATGCCATCATGCGGGCGGACGACGTATTGGAGATGAGAGGCGAAGACAGTGAGTTTCTGGATAACCTCCGATCGGCGGAACGGGGTGGCTTGGACCTGAGATTGGGCTTCGGATTGACGGAGGAGCTCGATAGCTAAGACTCCGGCTGCAGGAAGACCAAAGGACGATGCCTGTAAGCTGTCAGTACAGATTCGCAGCACTAAAGAAATTGGCACTACGCACATTCCATCCGACATTATAGGTGCCAGCCCTAGACCCAATTTCCTTCCCAATGAGCTCGAGAATGGTGCTCAGTATGTTTTGTGACACGCTGATCAAGCCCTCCCCACCGCTTTGGGTCCGCTTCACCAAAACCCGGTAAAGGAGGAAGTCATTGTAGAGGAAGTTCAAGTACAGAGGCAAAAGAACACTGCTCGAACCGTTCGGGTCGGGAGAGCCAGGCCGCCAGCGAAGGAAGCCGGGCAGCTCGTTCCAAGTTTTGTGAGATTGCTGAGACACCTCCCTAAGCATGCGATGTAAGCGATATGTCTTGCAGAGAGCGTGACAAGGCACTTACTGAACCTTGCGAGACAAATCGTCAATACGGCGACTGAGCGACAATTCCAGAATCTGCTCCCTCGTCGAGCCAATGAGCAGCGCAATCCGAAGCCACGCGGACTTCCCCACGACTCCCTGGGTATTCCATCCCGTCTTGTCCAGCTTGCTGATGGCCGCCTCGCGGATCTTCGGCTCGGCTAGAATCTCATCATAGCTCAGGTCGAGCGGGAACTGGACGTCATAGTAGCGCCAGCTGATCTGGGGGGGTCTGCCCAAGGAGGTGGCCAGCTGTTTGTCGATGCTGTATGCGCCCGCAACCAGACGTTTGCGAAGCTCGACCACGAAGAAGGGGGTCCTCGTGTCCTTCTCTGATTGATTGGAACCGAGAGTGAAAGCCACTGTCGCAAGCTCGGCCAGCTTCCTCCACGCTCGAGGATCTGTCAGTTGTTAGCCTACGTCCCGATTGCCCGCACCAAGAGAAACTCATCAAACATACCATTTTCACCGTAAACCAAGGTCAAGAGATGAAGATGCTGGAACAACAACCAGCCCAGCGAATCATCCACCGCGCCAAAGGTATCACAGAACTGCAGACAGGCATCACTCGCCGAGACTGCCTGGGCCGCCAACAACTTCTGATCACGGGGCGCATTGCGTTCGCGCTCGCGGATGGACCGCCAATCGCGCTCCAGCATGGCGCCCTGCCCGACGATCGAGTACACCAGCCCAATGCCCTCCCACCGGGAGGAGATCCGCCGGATATAGTCCTCCGGGGTGGTGGCCGCATGCACCGTCAGGGGCTTGGCGCTGTCGTCGAAGATCTTCTGCGCCCACCGCAGCATCGTCGAATGGCGATCCTTGACGTAGCTGGGGTCAGAAGTTAAGGCCTCCAGGATATCCTCGAGGGCCTCAAACATCCCCGTGATGAGCCGGTGACCCAGGATGCACCCCTCGGGCCACACATCCAGCGAGGTCTCCGCCAAACGCTCATACAGGGGCAGGTTCTCGAACAGCAAGGTGAGCAGTCGGGCGCCCATCTGGACCTGCCTCGGATCCGGCGTGGTGGCAGGCTCGGCCCGGCCCGCGGAGGAAGCATCGAGGTACATGGACCCCCGAAACTGGTCCTCCATCTCACTGAACATGGCCGAGCTATTGTTGTTGTTGGCGGTGGTGGCGGTGGTGGGAAGACCCATGGCGGCTAGTTTCTCGTCCCCGTTGGGGGTTGACCGGCCACCTTGGGTGAAGGAGTCCGGGCGGCCCTGCGAGCGCGGAGACGCGGTCGGCGACGGAGCATTGTCCGAGTACCAGGTGCGCGTGGCGGGAGGGGCGGGATACACACAGTTCTCGGCCTTGCCTCGACGGATGCAATTCTGGCAGGCGGGGATTACATTGTCGCAGCGCATTTTGGACTTGCGGCACGGTTCGCATGGCGGTGGTGGCTGGCCATTGCGGCGCGGAGCAGCAGACATGCTTGAAGGTTGCCGCACTCACTGCAGGAGATGTAGGAAGAGGAATAGAGGAGCAGTAACAAACAATGCCAGTAATAGTGATGGATGGAGGGAGGGAGGAGGGAGGGAGAATCAATTGTAATATTGAGAATGGAATGGAAGGCTGGAGCATACAAGTAGTGACAAGAGATCGAGGCCCGCCTTGGTGGGCGGCGTATTTAAATTCATCCTCTTAGCTTGCTTCTTGCTTGCCCGCGCGGACAAAAATAGTAAAATCCAGTGGCTGGAGGAATTGAGGACAGGGAAACTGCCCTGAACTGCAGCCTGTCTCCGCACTTACGTACCTGGTCGACACCTCAGGCAACCCCACTCACAGTCACCTGCAGTCAGATATTGAGTCCACTTCTGGTCCTTGCACGAGCTTAGGTATGGTCAGAGCTTCCTCAATTGAAGCTGTATTGGATTTTCTTGACAGTTGACAGCCAGAGCAATAGCCGATTACAATAATTGACCGGTACCGCACGTTCCCAGCCTCCCAAGACCGATAAGCTGAGCTGCCTGATAACTACCCGATAACTCAGACACAAACAAGGCAACAACAACCCATCCGGCAATCGCAAACTGGGAGGATGTTTCAAGCAAACAGGGATCTGTAATGTTTCAAATGCATCCTTCGACAGGTAAGCTAGCTTTCTGCACTCTCATCTCAAAATGACTTGAATCGATGAATCGACAAGAACTTAGTCGTCGGGACGCAGACGCATCACAACACAAGAGGATATACCGACATATATACTTAATGAGCGAGAGCAAAATACCTCTCTTCAACTCCGGGATGAAAAGCCCCCCGTCCCTAACCAGACCTAATCATTGAATCATTGCAAACGAGTGGCCCTTCTGGAACTCCTAGCAGCAATCCCAGACACGGTGTTCTCGCCACAAATTCGCCGCTGCCGAAATTGCCAACCTCACTGGGCGGGTTCGACATTTCGAGATGCAAGGGACGATCGAGCAGCAAGCGATCTTCCGTGAGCCTGTAGCCGCAGGGTCAGGATAGCAAGACACCGAGCTTGAAAGGAGTAACTCTATCCGAAAATGTCTTATATGATGGCAAGAAACCCGACTCTATGTCTCCCCTCTCAAGGTGGCAATAGCAACCCAGATATCCAGACTTCAAATTACATGATCGGATTGATGCTGTTGATCGTCGTTTCGCTGGACTTGGGCCAGGGTTCCAAAAGGCCGATAGAAATAGGCAGTCTGCATCAATGCAGTGACGTCAAAGAACAAGAATGCTGGGATGCATGATCACGGATCTGGAGGATGACATTTCAGACCAAAATGATTGCTCTCGCGCAGACCTGCTTTTTGCAGTATGGCGAAACAAGCCATTAACTCTCCTGATAGGACGTACTGGAGCCATTCAACATGCAAAAGACCAGGAGAGATAGATAGCCGTATACCCAAGCAGGGGACAATCTCTCGCTCGATAACTTCGCACAAAAGTACCTAGTAGGAAATCAATCACCGCTGCCCACGCAGCACATTGAGTACATTGCGAGTTCTGCAGACACCCCGATCGAGCTGGCACACATACCGCGGATCCCTCCCATATTCCTCTCTCTATGCATCGAATGACAGCATACACCATACAAGGAAGACGCCAGAAACCAATCAAGTATCAAACCTCCGCGTTGGATCCGGGTATATGAAGTCGCAAAAGGGATGCACACTACCACAAGGCCAGAAAATTCACACTATCTTGACCCTGTACCTCTACCCGTATACTTCCGAAAGTCATCCCACAACGAACCATCACAATGAAAACGTACGCCATCCTAAGCCCACCCCCTACTATCCGAACTAACAACCATAGCACCCAAAACCCAACAGAAGAATACCTCGCCCTCACTCAAACACCAGGCCGACTCGACCGCACCGAGCTCGAAACCATCTACGACCGACTCAACCCGGTATCCCCAGAGTTCTTGGATGGAGAGTGGAGCATCCACTTGCTCGACACGGGACATCCGGCCCAGGCCATCGCGACGGACGGGCTGCCGCTTATCCGGACACTGTTTTCGTTAGAGGAGACAGAAAAGGTGAGACATCCCTAGTAAATGAAATTCAAGGCCAGATCTGATGCGTTCCCAAAAAAAAACACAAGGTCCGGCAAATCAGGTTCCACGGTATCGACGCCTGCGCGGTCATCCCCGACGGCGAGAACAAGGTAGATCGGTTTCGATATGTGAATGAGTGTACCGTGGCGGCGACCAATGAGTATAAGCCTTATTATCGGGATTCGGGGGTTTTGCACTTCTATCTGACGCGGGTGGGTGAGTGATGGGGTAGATGGGTGCTATGATTACAGGTTTGTTCATTTGATTGGGGGTATGTTGATAAAGCGAGTTTTGTACTGTGTCTGTGTTTGTCGAAAGGGAACTTTGATTAGATCAATTGTAGTAGATTATTTACTCGGCCCTAGTGCAAGTTTCTCCCTCGTCATAATCGCACCGCTAGGGGATGGCTTTGATCAGCGCGACATAGCGCAGACCAAGGCCGACCTCCATCCCCAGCTCCAGCGCCAGATGTCGGACGTTGAGGCGATCGGGCACGTTTGTGGGGATACACATGCGCGGGTGGGTGGCCAGCGTATAAAGGGCTCTGGGGCACTCGGCCGCCTTTGCGACGGCCACCATCAGCGGGGAGGACTCCTGAGTGGGGCTGTTGACATGACGCCACAGGGGCATGGAGTCGACGTCGTGCATGAAGTCTAGTTTGTACTCGGGGCGGTCCAACAGACCCGCGATCAGTTTTGTCTTACCGTGGGCGATGGCGATGGTCAACGCGCTCTGCCCGTCGTTGGCGATCGGCCATGTCGTGGATGGGAACCGGAGCAGGGCTTGCGTTAGATTCCACCGGTGGGCTTGCACGGCTTGGTGGATGACGGTGCGTCCCCCGCCGTCGGTGATGTCCATCAATCTGGGCGCGGCCTGCAGGATCTCCCGCAGGACCTCCTCGCGGACCTTTTCTTCGGGCAGGGCCGGGTGATGGAGGATAGCGGTCAGCGGGCTCAGACTTACGCCCTGGCTCTCCCAGCGCAGACTGAGGAGATCCACACCATTCCGGACCGCCTCGCAGATGAGGTCGACGCGTCGAGTCCACAGAATGATATCCCAGGGCCCCTTCTGGGTGAAGGTCGCTCCGCGGGTGATCAGTGTTTCCACCATTGTCTTGGCGGCCTTGATCCTTGCTGGGTCTCCTGCTGAGTCGGTTGGATGAAAGGGGGATCTGATATAGTCCAAGGGCTTCAAGTCAGCATTTTCGCCTCCGTAAGTAGGGTCCGCGCGATGCTTCAGAAGAACATTCGCCACGTCCTTTCTTCCCCGAAGAACGGCCAGTGACAAAATCGACAATCCACTCACGGTCACGGCATTGGCCAGCTTGTCAGCATAGTCATCTACCTGATTCTCACTCACCGCGCCACGCTCAATTGCCCAGGCAGCATTCTCCACGGGGCGCAGATTGAAGACCATGAGCCTGGCGTTCTCATCAGCAGCGGCCGCTGCGTGATTGCCATATACCTCCTGTGGAGTCAGGAGCTGATCCTGACAAGCAGAACAGCGCTTGTGGCTCACAGCGTTGAGAACACCGCGACGAGACCCAGAGAAGACGATCAGGTTGTTCTTCTCCAGGAAGTTTGTTACCACTTCCCAGAGGTCAGTCTGGAGAGAAACTCTTTGTCCTGGACCACTCGTCCCTTGCGAGACACCCTCTGCAAAACCTGAGTGAGTACTGAGACCACAAAGCGAAGCGGACATCTTGGGTATAAGAAATGTGCTAACCAGCCGGGAGAGGTCAGTTTCCATATAGTGACGAGCATGATGACCAGGTAGATTGGTGTCATGATGTCTCCTTATATTCTTTCCATCTGCGAAACCTGATCTCATAGTAAAGGGGCCTGAACGCAGCACATTCCGCCCTTTGTCCTGCGCTTGTTGAAGCAATCATCACCAAACTTCATGCATCACAATGCAATGAAAGAACAATCAAACAAAGACCTTGTCCTTCTTTGTTGTTGAAGCCATTCATACTTGTGAAGAAACATGGAAGGTACCCGCAGCGGAAGCTAAGCCCAAACCAGCCCTGCCAAACCCCACCAGCCCCCCCAAAAAATCTCTCGCATCAGATCAATCAATCCTCCGTAAATCGGCCGTGCCACCAGAAGAGGCCTGGCGGGTGAATCATCCCCTCCCGGGGAATCTTCTCAGCGGGTATCCTGTCCATTGATGAGTAGACCACAAAATTCTAGACTAGTACCAAGGGAAATTGATCGCGGGTTGGCCGAGATTTTTCCGCAGCACCAGACCAGATAAGATGATTACTCATGTCTCCGAGCGATGTGCGGGGCGGGAAAGGATGCAAATCTCTCCGGCGTCTTACCAATCTTCTGCGCTAGCCTGGATGCAGTTAAGGCTGGGTGAGGTGCAGAAGGAGGGAATGGAATTTGTTCTTGGCTTGGATGGGAACCCCGCGATCATCGTTGTCTTTTGCTTGATGGTGGGTGTACTACGTGTCAATCCTCCTGTCGATTGCGCTGGTTGAGAGCAGGGATGGATGGCTGGAGCCTAGGCGGTGCAACCGGATGTCAGAGCTGAGAAAAGGTTGTGAACACAGACTATGCTACGATTCGAAAATTGCGGCAGGATTCATGATTGAAGTGGAGAATATATGTGGTTAGATTGATTGGGTATATTGTGTTGTTTTTCAAAACCATTAGTTAGTACATACATCCCATGTTAGCCGAGATTCTGAGCAAGATGACTAGCCTAGTAAACCTCATAGATCTCCTTCTCGGTAGTTCGTAAATTCGTGAGTGACGTCCACGGACAATCCATCCAACGCCAAGAAGCTAATGTGCAGTATCACATGCTAAATCACAGCCTTCGTCGTTCCGTCACGGTCCAACGCCGTTTGGTGCCCGCTTCTCGATCCTTTTGCAGGGGTTCGCTGCCCCACAGACCACGCTGCGACATGGTTCGTTGCGGCAGTTGACTGGTCCAGGTTTGCCCAGTGGCGGCCGGCTTATCCACATCGTGACAGATTTCATTCGTAGACGGTGTAGGAGCTGGCGTGGTCCAATCGCCAAAGTTGGGCACAATGTCATCTGCTGGCTCAGCTGAGGCAGAGACGGACCCCCATAGCCCCGTTGAACCACTAGGGGTAACAGCTGTCGAGGGCCGTGCTGCCTTCCACGACTGGGACCCCATGCCAGATGTAGAGGAGGGGCCGATGATGAACATTCCCTGCGAGATCGACTTTCGCGGGGCAGCACGCTGGCGATAGGTTGGGATGCCTGGTGATGCGAGGTTGACGGGCGACGAAACAGCGGGGTTACTAACTCCATTCCGCAAATGCTCGGTAGATGCTACCTTTTTCAACCGATAACTTTGCAAATTGATCGGCTCGTCGAAAGACTGCTCGGAGCCCAGGGACCCAACCGAAACTGTTGATGCGGTCCCAGTTGACTCGTGCAGGTCAGGGTAGCGCACTGCCAGGGTGAGAGAGGCCGTGCCAATATCGACAAGTGCTGGCTCCCCGGATATTGCCCCAATGAGTGCATTGCAGCCAGCTCCATGCGTAATTACAACCAGAATGGTCTCGGTTTCGTCGTCAGTATCGTCGCTTTGATTGTTGTCGCCGGTTCCGTTCAACATCTGCGAATTGCGCTGACTTTGGCGGGTAGACCCTGAGAAATCATGTTCGTCGTACCAGCTAACCATGCGTTCCATCCCATTGCGGAATCTTGCATGCATTGAGCTCCATTCCTCCCCGTATTCGCCTCCATTCCCCCAATCTTGGTCACCACGCATGCTGTCCCATTGGTAGTCGACATTGACGCAGGCATCACGGGCATGAGTCACATATCCAGCAGGTATTGGATTGGAAGGAGAAATGGCATAGCTTGGAGTCGGAGGCACATATGCGCTGTCTGGAATGGGCGATAGATTGGTGTTGATTTTGTTCAGTAGTCTTTTGCTGCGAGAGGGGTCACCAGCACCCAAAGCGTCACAGCTACCCGCACGAGTTCTGTGCCCTGGCGCCGAATTTGTTGTGGATGCAGATTCAGGCTCATTGGGCGCATTGAGGTCGGGGGCAGGAGACACTGGCGTTGAAACGCTTCCCCAACCACCCGGGAAGTAGCCAACCGATGGTCGGGACGTTATGTCTGCCGCCGGGACAAAATGCTGCTCACGTCTTAACAGCTCAATCTTGGCGGTGGCGATCATTCGGTCGGAGGAGGGAGGAGGCACGATTTGTTCGAAATAGTCAGGACTGAGCCATTCTCCGAGAAAAGCGTCAACACGCAAAAGGCATCGCGTGTTGTCCAGGCTAGACCTGGGGCTCGAGCTCGGAGGAGTGTCCAAAGTCAAGTTCTTTAGGGATCCGTGGGTCGCATTGTGAAGCTGTCCCGCAAGCGAGCCATACGGCCGGTGGTAGTCGTCCGGTTCAGGAGAGTTCTGGCAAATTCCTGAGCTGACTGCGATAGCTGTCTGAAGGCAACGAAGGAATGGAGAGGTATGGATGATGACCCGGCGCTTGCGGGGTGGAGTCTCGACGCGATCGAGGAATTGTTTCCGTGCAGCATCGCTCTGTGTCGAGACGTCTATCTCATCGTCTAGGGACTGTAGAAGATCGACAATTCTAGCACCGAGAGCGCGGGACTGTAGCCAGCCGCCGTAGGAGAGGGGAGGGTCGTAAGGAGTGGGAGATGTCAAATGCCAATTCTTGTCAGCAGCGTCCAGGCGAGCGCCATGTCTATCGAGGCAGTGAGCGTAAGAATGCGATCTATTACTTGCAAGCATGAAAAGCGTGAAGCCTTACCTAGCAATGATGATGGCGGCGGGGGGTTTCCCCATGGCGGCAGTATAAGGCAGCCGTCGGGAGAAGGAAAACAACAAGTGTTTGTCGAACTGAAAGTTGGACAAGACAAGGAAGGGAGAGTTTAAAGGTGAAAAAGGTGGTCGATGTAAGATTGAGCGAGTTCGAATTTGGTAAGTCGATGCCTCGCAGGTCACAGCTGGAAAGGGGGTGTGGTTGTCGCCTTGACCCAGGTTGTCTCGTCGCTCCGGCGGGGTAGACAGCAACACCTCCACAGCCACGATCACAGCGCGTCTAGAGGGCGATCCGAGATGTTAATGTCGCTAACAAAGAACTAGGAAAGGGACACAACATGATGACGGGGAGAGATCAGTTGAGACAAAGGGGGAAGTTCCCGGTCACATTCTTCCTGATTGCGATCGGTCGGATGAAGAGTCTTCCCGGTGAGGAGGTGAATTCACGTTTCTTTTTTTTTTCTCTTCGCTCACCTGCAGTGACTCTCGTAATTTCTTTCCTGCTTCGTCACCGGGGCATGTGATTGTGATTAGCTAAGGCACTGAGATCATGTGGAGCAAGCCACCGGATCCACTGCCTTCCGATGCCGATATTCGGCAGTATCCTGACTACAAAGTACACCATAGAACACGAGAATGAGAGCGGGACTTTGCGGAGGGTGGTCAGGTTTGTATGTAGTCACACCACCTGGAAGAGAAGTTTGCCTTTTCTTTGAACTTCTTCTTTCCTCTTGTAGGGATTGATTGATGAGCCTGTTTGGGCAGCAGAAAAGAGACTCTGGCGTATCACATGATCGTCGGTTTACCGCCTATCCTCCCGCGTGGGTACTGCCACCAGAACACGGAATAAAATGCCATTCTTGTCCTTTCTCCTCAAGCAGTAGCAGAGCTTCGAAGGATCTTTTAGGTTGTTCTTGGCTTTCAATAGGTACTCTCTGCCGAGGATCGTCAACCGACCATCAATTATATCACATAAATAGTACAATATTCGTTTTTGTACATGAGGAATCGCGCAATCTCAGAGAAGGAACGCAATATATTGCCCAAGCTCTACTCCGTACCGCATCACGATACTGTATCCGCACCGTGTCTACCGCCTTCAAGTTGGTGCTTCATACAGCTTCAGCACAGATCAACACCCAAGTTGAAAAATTCGTTTACGTACGTACAACATGTACAGCCAACAATAAACCAGATTCATACACTAGTGAAAAGTAAAGAAGATCAGCAACACTATGACACAGAATGAATTAACTATCTGCGCCGGAGTCAATAGCCTCGCGCCAAGAATCTAGAACAGGGGGTATATCGAACACTAATCCGAATAAACAGAACTACTTGCACGCGGCGCAGAAAGCGCAGGAAGCTCAGGAGGCTCAAGGCGCCGAGGAGCTCCTGGAGGCCTAGAAGCCTCAAGAAGCGTAGGCGGCTCAAGCAGCAACTTATGCACACAACGATGCTCAGTGCCGAGCTTCTGCAGATCCAGCTCCGGGCGGGCGAAGCCCTGACTCCGGACCGTCTTCCACGGCGGCCGGGGCTGCCGCTGGTGGACCAGGACCGGCTTCCCCCAGCAGCACCACAGCAGCTTCCCGTCCCCCTTGGGCAGATGCATCAGGTCCGTCAAGGTCGAGTGCATGAACCGCAGGTTCTGGGTGCCGCAGTCGTTGTCCGTGATGCGGTCGTGGTCGTAGTAGACCAGTCGCTTATAGTACTCCCGGTAGGGCTCGTCGATTGTCTCCATCCGCCAGAGCGGGAACGCGTTGTCATTGTCGGCGGCGAGCGACGGGTCCCGCTGGCGCGCCCCTTCCTCGTACCGTCGGATGAACAGGAGGTAGTCGATCCAGAACTTGAGCGACCAGTGGCCCGCGGAGTCGCGGCAGGCCAGCATGATGAAGGCCTCGATGTACTTGGGGAAGGTCAGCACCGTGACGGGCAGTTTGTCGGCCAGGGGCAGGTAGCTGCGCAAGCCGGGCTTGGGCAGCCCCCGCGCCTCGTAGTGCGGGTCCCTCGGGGTCACAAACCCGATCGGCGGGCTGGGGAACATCCACAGCAGAGTCGATTGCTTGTACAGGTCGATCGAGGTAGAGATGGGGCAGCCGCGGCGGAACTCCTCCACCGTCGGATACTTGGCCGAATGGAAGTGGTAGTCGGCCAGAGGGCGCAGGAACTGCTTGCTCCGCGTGGCACAGTCCCTCTTGAGCAGGCATTTTGGCGGGTCGGCCTTCTTCTTGAGTAGCCAGACGGCCCGTCCGAAGTATTCGTCCGGGATCACCCAGCTGCTTGAATTGTAGTCCGGGCTGCTTGACGTGACGCTAGGCGCCAGGAAGTAGACGTAGGGGATTTTGTTCTTGATGAAAATCTGGGCGACTTGGCACTGCTGCCGCTCCTTCAAGCTCTCACGCGGCTTCGAGGGTTGGATCTGACTTGTTTGGGGCATGTTGGCGATAGGGCGATAGGGGCTCGTATAGCTAAACTTCTGGCTCAGTTGGGATTCTGGCATACTATAATAGACTATGGGACAATGAATGGTATTTATACGTCATCGCCATATTGAAGCAATAAAGACGTTTCTCAATTGACTTTGAGCCAATGCTCTGTTGGCCTGATTGTTTATAAGAAATTTACCATCAAAGACATGGCCGTTGTAGTGCATTGTCATACCGGAGAGTTACAGTAAGTGCTGTCATTGTCTTCGTGATTGCAAGCTCCAACTCTGCACATTATTTCTTAGCCATATTATGATCAGTGCTTGCCAGGAATCACTTGGTGATAGCATGAAGATCAATTTAGATAATAGAACTCAGTGGTTGCTAACAGTGACAACATTGTGCTACCAATATAAGGCCAGTGCTTTTAACAAGCTGTTGTGATAGAGACTACTGAAGGCAAACAGTATGGCGGGCCAGCAAATGGCTCCTAGGCTGAAGAACAAAGGCGATAATAGAGATTGGTTCATCGTTGAAGGCTGATGTAAACAATGACCTGTATCCAATACTGATAGATGCTGAGTTCTACTGTGCTCTGACTTGTTAGATGACTTAGCACGTGTGGGACTTTTCCGGTAGCGGAAGTACGATTCCGAGAGTGGCTCATCAATGCGACATATGAGACTAGTAATGACTTAGCAATACTTGTGGCTCGAAGACTACGATACAATTCTTGAGTCGCAGGGAATTGTTGTGTCAACATGTTTGTAACCCATAGGCGATCATCCGCCGAGGGAAAGTTCATAGATGTTCGATCTTCTTCCAGAAGAAATATGTTTGTATGCCGTAGATGTTTTGTCACCCCGAAAAGGCTTGGCGCCACATTGAAGATCAGGGATTGGTCTTTATGAAGTCATGATGATTGACGCATCTGATCTCATCAAGATCAATCCGGACTGGGAAGCCGTTGTGACGAGCAAAGACCCTGCATTGGCTAGCAGAGATGAACACTTATAGGGCTTCTCACGAGAGAAGTAACAAGCAAGGAATATCGGTCCCGAGCAATCGGCAACGCTAAATGCGCGTAAGGAGTCTGCTGAAGTCCCTAGATCTCCGTACATGGAGATGATGTTATCGACTCGGACTGACGGTGGCGCACTGCATTCCGTCGGGCCCGGAGTGTTTTCCGACGGGACAAGCCTCAAGTACGGGTCCGCAAGATCCGACTAGCTCTTTTGGGACAGTTCTTCAGGCTGAACAACGAATTGTATCGCAGTATATGATGCTTGTGGCGACTGAGTGGATCAAGATAGATATCATCAACAGCTTGGGCTACAACATTTCGCAATACTTAAGGTAGGGGAATCTCCCGAGCTCGGGCCCGGAGCTGTTGGCTGTCCTTTAGATTCGGTGTCTCGTTGAATGGGCTGTATTCTCTTGAGGCTTGAAGACGCTTTGAAAGAAATGACCACCGAGACAGAATACTCCGATCGTCAGTTCCGAGACGGGTCCACCCCTACCGATTCCGAGTCTTCCCTTTCTCGCAACGAACTGCACGATAAACCAATTGACAATGAGGCCGACGAGCATGACCCTGAGGCATTGACTCGGCTCGAAACTGCCCAGTCGACACTCAAGCCACCTTCAGTGCTTTGGAAGGAGATTGCGTTCATCGCGGTAGTATGTATGGCTCAATTCATGACGCAAGCTGGGCTATGTATGTCTATCGCACCGGCACATATCATCGGGGACAGCTTCGGAACCACCAGTGCAGGAGAGCTAAGCTGGTTTGCCGCAGCCTATAGTCTGACCGTCGGCACTTTTATTCTGGTTGCGGGTCGGCTTGGAGATGTGTATGGTCATCGTCTCATGTTCATCATCGGCTTCGCGTGGTTCGGACTGTGGTCACTTCTGGCTGGGTTTAGTGTATGGTCCAACAAAATCTTCTTCGATTGCTGCCGGGCACTTCAGGGCATCGGCCCAGCTTTGTTGCTCCCGAATGCGATTGCGATCCTCGGCCGTGCATACCCCCCGGGCCTGCGCAAAGAAATGATTTTCAGCTGTTTCGGTGCCACTGCTCCTGGCGGGTTCATCGTCGGTGGTGTATTCTCATCAATATTCGCGCAGCTCGTGTGGTGGCCTTGGGCGTACTGGGTGATGGGAATTGTTTGCTTCGTGTTGTCGGTGCTAGGCCTGCTGGTTATACCACAAACTCACCGGCCGCAGTTCAAGGATGACCTATCGACGTGGGCTCGCTTGGACGTCGTTGGAGCGACAACCGGTATCTCAGCACTAGTACTGATCAACTTCGCCTGGAACCAAGCAGCTCTGGTCGGTTGGCCGACGGTGTATACCTATGTTCTTCTCATCGTCGGCTTTGTCCTTTTCGGTATCTTCGTCTGGGTCGAAGGCTCGGCCTCATGTCCACTGATCCCCCGGTCGGTTCTGACAGGGGATTTGGCATGGGTGCTCGGATGCATTGCTGCCGGCTGGTCTAGCTTTGGCATAGTCATTTATTATTTCTATCAGTTCATGGAGGTGATCAAAGGAGACTCGCCTCTACTAGCAACGGCGAAGTGGTCTGCTGCTGCACCGTCCGGGGCAGTCGCCGCCCTCGTCACCGGCTTCCTTCTCGGCCGATTGCCACCGAGTGTGATCATGTTCTGCGCCATGTGTTTCTTCACCGTCGGTCAGGGCCTTGTTGCCACAATACCTTTGAACCAGACCTATTGGGCCCAAGCATTCGTTGCTAGCTTGATCACTTCATGGGGAATGTGAGTATACACCTAGTTTCTTCGTCAGTGGTAGCATGTCGCTAATCTGTTACAGGGACATGTCATTCCCATCCGGCACCTTGATCCTCAGCAATTCTATGCATCACCACCACCAAGGGCTCGCAGCCTCCTTGGTCACCACGACAGTGAACTATTCGATCTCGCTTGGGCTGGGCTTTGCTGGTACCGTGGAGTCAAATGTCAACAACGGGGGGAAAGCTGCGCTTCGGGGATACCGCGGTGCGCTATATCTAGGTATCGGACTTGCTGGTCTCGGAGTGGTAACCTCGGTTTTCTTTATGCTTGTCAGCTGGAAGCGATATAGAAAGGAAAATTTGTCAGCTTGATGTGAATTTTGAGTTCATATTGATAGAGTGTGATAGACTACTTTAGTACTAATGTCATGAAAGTTTCTAGCGAGAATTGAAGTCAAATATGCGCGAGAGTAATCTGAACCCGAGGCATCACCATTTACTCACTTTCTCTTGCTGCTTCGATTGCCCCTCCATTTGTAACCTGGACCCAAAAAAACCTTGTTCATATGAACATAAATTGGCACACAATACTATGTAAGCACTGTGTGTGCTTGTGGTTAAGAGGGACTTGCATAAGTTCATTAGAAGCAGTAAATCAATGGTGAGATGATCATAGAACTTACTCCTTCTTATAAAATATATACTGAGATACAATCATACTTCAAACAGCTCTCTGTCTTGAATCACGATCGACGACTCACATCTTGCTTGCATGTTTCTTATTCTTTACACTCTTTCCCCTCCATCTATACTCTATTCTATTGCACAGTTTATCGCAGTCAGACCAACATGGGAGGCAGTGAAGCTTGAGCTACTGTACGTTACAACCACACCATAACCCAGACGCGTAAACAATATTCCGAACAAGACTGCAGTTGCCTTTTCACACCATTTCTCTATTCACTCAGGTCAGTGTTTGCAATCACAGCTGTGATTCTCTTTAAATTGAACTATTTGATAGGAGTGAATTTTGCCCCTTCCCAACAATATCACTACCTAGGAAGCAACTACTTCCTCAGAACAGATGATTAGTCTGATTCCACTCATTCGACCTCCATAACCTTTATTCTTCCACCATACGTCTTTCATCACGCATAAACACATTTCAAAACCAGGTAGGTATTTACTTTAACTTTCCCGTGTATTCCTCATGTTCCGATCAGTCAGGACTGACTTCGAACGTCTTCAAAGATTACTCTGCAACTCACGGCTTACTGTTCATCTTGTGCCCGATTTTCGACTCATCTCCATCGTCTACAGCTGTTTCAAATGTGAACAGACTCTCAGCATGGCGTCCTCTGAAATTATAATATCACCACAACAACACATGATTGGTCTCACAATAGTGTACACGGTTGCTATCTCGATTTCGATGGCCGCAATTGTTATGTTTCTACGTCTACGTGCACGCAAAGTTCAAGCATTGTCAATTGGCGCCGATGACAAGCTATGCATTGCCAGTCTGGTTGTATTCATTGCTTACTGTGCCGGGGCCTTGTCTGCGTGTACACCTACGGTGCGGGCCAGAGCTACACAGATCCAAAAGAGGCTGAATCGAAGGCCAGACAGTATCTCCAGGCTAGATATGCTGACCCGCTATTACATGGCCTGACTTTGTTGTTGGCCCGACTTTCATTGCTGTTGTCCTGCCGACGAATGTTTCCAATCCCAAATCTCCGCTTTCGCGTTGACACATTCATATTTTTGTCTGCGGTCCTCTGGTTCTTCAAGACAATCCCCCAGGTTTTGATCTGCATCCCACCGCAGTACTTTTGGAACAGGTCTATCCTTGGCGGCTGCTCTTCATCACAGCTGCAATTCTGGACTTTTGGAGTCTTCGATCTAGTGCTCGATGCGGCGCTGCTGTTTTTGTTGGTTCCTAGATATATTCTACTGCGGCTTGGCGGGATGAGAGTACAGTTGACACTAGTGCTAATCTTCGGATCGATGTAAGTGCCACGCGACTTCTTACCCACCAGCGGTATCTCTGCTAATGCAGATAGTGTCATCATGAGCGGTGTAGTTCGTGTTGTATATGGATGCGAGACGGGTGACTTTCTTGGTATGCTGAAGATAACACGATCAAACCCATTGAGCTTGTGCTAAACTTAACAGGCGATTACGGCCATGTTATTCAATGGTCCGTCATGCAGCTCGGCTTTGCTGTTATGTGCGCCTGCATGCCTTGTTTCCTTCCCGGATTGCCAGTCAACGAAGTGAATGGTGGCGACAGGCTTGTGTGGCTTGTATTTAGACTCCCGGAGCAACCTAGTGTTGTCAGAATGCCAAGTTAATCTCAAACGCCTGCTCGCGACGACCCCAACGAGACATTGACGACCATCCCTCATGAACAAGCTTCATGTGAGCAACATGACAAATAGTCTACCGGGGACATTAGGACGGTCTGCTCACTTGGATCATCTTGCGCCGAGAGCCAAGGAGGAGAGGGTTATGGATAATACGGTTGAATCATCACAAGTCACAATTGACGACAGTGTTGTTGTTTAAGAACTTATCTGTGCTTTATCGAATATTACAATGAACATGATCTTTTTTCAAATTCCAGCTATTGTGGCACCTTGACCAGGCCAATCCTTTCGTTCTCGCTCTTACTCCGCTGACTCCACTCAGGTGCTTCGTCCTCACCCGCCTCCTCTTGGGCGTCCCCTTCCTCCTTGGTCTGGTGCACCGTCCGAGGATCATGCTCCGCGGGGGCATAGATCGTCACCAACTCAAGGGGAGTATCGCCCGCATTCAGGAACTGGTGCTGCGTCCCCGCCGGCACAATCACCACATCCCCCTGCTTGACCTCCTGCTCCTTGCCCGCAACAATCGCCTTGCCCGTCCCGTGTGTGAAAATCAACGTCTGATCAACCGTATGCACCTACCCCAGGACATTTCAGTGTCAGCTCGCCTCGCTCGCCTCACGCAACTTTCTGGAAGTACAAACCTCGTCCCCAATCTCCCCATTGACCGGCACCTCCATTGCCACGAACTGCGAGTACAGGCCCGTGTGGAGCACCTTGCGGAACACCCCGAACTTCCGGCTCGGCGACATGACGCCGGGGAAATAGACCATCTCGTTCTTGGGGGGCTGGCTCGTCATGTTGCCGGTGGTGTATTTGGTGATGTTCGTGGTGGTGCTGTGGTTTCGGTATTGGGGGGATGTTGTTGCTGTGAGGAGAGGGAGTCGGGTGGTTCGGAAGGTGGTGAAAGTGAGTGGTTTTGTTGATGGGTTGATGAGGTGTTTTGTCAGGTTGGAGGATGGTGAGGGGATGCGAGGCATTTTATTTTCAGGGAATTGGGAGGGATTCGTGGATGCCCGGTTGGTGGCTAGGTGGCATTGACTAATGGGGGGCATGGGTTATAAATCTGGATGGTCTGGGTTTTTTGGGGTGTGGTGGTGGTGGTGACGTAATGGGGATGGATGCCATCATCGATGATTATGTACTGTGCTTCCAAGTTGCGCTGTGTGGGTTCTTTGTTGGGAATGGCGATGTGGGGATTTCTGATTCTCGGTGATGAGGGGAGGAGTTACCTACGAGTGCTTGTAGATGGTCTGGGCTTGATTAGTTATTCGATACGGTTGGTGTGTGATTCACCCGGACTTAGTTCTAGTTCTAGAAGATTGGTTGATCGAGGAATTGGGGGTTCTAGAACGTTGCGATTAAGTCATGCGCCGTAAGTTATGATGGGGGCTGACCGCCTTACGTGCGGGGGAGGGGTCTTCCTCCTACCCGTGCGGGGAATCTGTTCGGTAACTCAGTTGAGAAGCATGAGGGGATTGCAAGGTGAACAGGCTTCAGTTGGATGGAAAGAGGTAGTTCTATGCTAATCGTCTCAATCTTTAGGGTTGCACTCTCAATCTTCGGTAATACAGTGCAATTGCTCGCGAAAAGTCTTATGCACGCACTTTTACAGGAAGAAAAGCGCTAATGGCATGCATAGTTGCTCTCTGCGATTATGGAAAGGGGGAGAGTAAGTACAGATTCCCCTCTCAAATATTTTGCACCTTGAAGAATAATATATATGTTGAAGCCAAAGGCGCAGCGACATCCTGGTACCTGCACCGCAATTGTCAGTCATCTCCCAAAGAACCCGCGAACCAGCACAAGCCAGACAAAGGCAACTCACCTGATCCAATCCCCCTGACAAAGGCCTAAGCAGCAGTGACCTTGTACGAGTACATGACGACCTTCGAGGTCCACTCCTTGAACACCTCGCACTTGTGGGGATTGATGCTCTTGCCGGACCACGCCGCCGTTCCCTTGCAGTTCTCCTTGGGGTAGATCGTGATGTGGTAGTCCTTGCTGTTGAAGTTTCCGTTGACCGAGCGGATCCCGTACCCCTCTTTCTTGTCGAAGTTGAAGCACCCCGTCTTGGGGGAATTCTCGATGTGCGTCAGCAGGGAGCCACTGCAGTTGTCGCTGTGCCAGGCCTTGATACCCCAAGAAGCTGAGAGGGCGGGGGTGCTCAGGCTGAGGACGAGAGGGAGGTAGGTGAAGAGTTGCATTTTGATGAGTTGTGGGTTGTGGGTTGGAGTTCGTTGGGTTGTGAGCTGGTGAGTCTGTGATGCTGATGATGGGAATGAGAGGATTGAAGAGCGCTTTATATAGGTTTGATCCTTGGGGGACGTAGGTCGGATTGAGATTACAAGACTAGGATATTCGGAATGTAGTATCCTGGTGAAGGGCCGAGTGGAGTTGGAGGTGATAGTTGGGATCCTTCGGTGCTGGGCGTTTCTTGGTGTAGTTGCCCATGGGTGGTGAGATGGTCTTCAGGCGCCATGCTAGGATGATGGTCTTGAAGAGCTTCCATTTCGATAATGAGTCGCTTGATGCCATTGCTCTAAAGGTACAAATTGGTGATGTGCTGAGTAGACTCGATATGGTATATGACTATGCTGCGAAAGATGATGATGAAGTTCAAAAGATTGCGGATAGAGCTCGGGACAATAGCTGCCATACTCGGCTACCCCGCTAGACCAGCTCAGAATCGCAGAGCCTAGCATCTATGGTGGAGCAATATACTTGTGCATTCGCGAGGTAGTATTGCATATTTGGAATTCCTGAGACATGGGGGCCTTGTAGTATAGATGTGGAGACAGACATCTTACTCTTTAGTGTGATCGGGTCGATCTACTACTTAGTCTAGACTAGGCCCGAGTGGAAATATCAAAGCTTCAGATCTCCGGTCAGCCTGAACGAGACCCCTCTGTGCTAGGCCGTTCCAGGAAGAAGTCTCTAAGCACCTGGCACCTCGCAAGTGAGTACTTTTGCGTACAGCCAGTTTGTAGATGAAGTTGGCGTCTGATTAGGGCGTTCGACGGGGAATGGCATATGGTATGTGCAGAGACGTTCCGGCAATCTTCTTCCAGTAAACAGCTGTATCTCTTATAATGGCGCCACCGAGATGTCAGACTGTGCCCCTTGTGTGGTAAGCAGTATAACTGAGCTACTCATATCAGAGCTCAGAAAACAGATGCGGGCTGAACATGTAGCCTTAGCCGTCGAGGCATATGTAGTCCTCCTATGACAGTATTTACTGTGCCGCGGTTGCCTCCGACATTCCTGAACTGGAGAGATTGACCCTGAGACTTGCCTGATGAGTGCTGAAGCAGGCCAGATGACTGGCCAACGCATTTGGTCGGGTGAATTTCCCGTCCTGTTATAGTTGAAAACTTGTAGCAACCGCCAAGTAAGACAATCTGCCACTTGATGCATGTTTCTCGTTCAGACATGTACATCATACCCTTTAGTGATAAACCTCTGCTTGGCAAAAGCACTAAGACACACTAGTCACTCCACTCCGAACAAAGTCTGAATAATCTCATCATCTTGTGATTGTCTCGAGCTGTCAGAAATGAGAGGGATAGGGCAATGAATATACAAAGATATAGTGGTTATGCTTAAGTTCGAGTTTGGCACACGCTCTTGAATATGAAGTATTGTGAGCAAGCACCTGGCGGTGATTGTAACTGCCGGGACCATAGTTTATTTTTCGGCCCGCTGGGAGACCCACTTCGATTTAAGCATGAATGCCAAGCTAAGATGAGCCCCACATTGTTTATGTGTAAGCGGCAACATTCTACAGCCTAGGGAGTAAGTAATTGACTGTGGATTAGAGCATAAGTCAAACGGCAGATACTGTGCCGATAGATCCTGGTTGAGCTGTCTTTACCTTCTCTAACTCGAAGTGGTGGCAGGATCCTGACCGTTCTGGCCATCCTGCCTCAGGCCTCGACAAAGTGGTGCCCCACAGCCCCGTCTATTTCTGCCACAGTGCGCCTCACAACCGCCTTCCTAATCGGATTCAGGAACGCGGTACTTATGACAAAAACGAGTACAAATGTCAATAACCTAGACCCTGTGGCGCAATCGGGAACACTTGCGGATACAAAGGAAACGGCGCAGTGGTCTGGGTTCGATCCCCCGGGGGATCGGCCCTTTCGTTGTGCAAACCTCCTTAGGATAACTGGAAGGGGGGGGTTTCGTAGCCTGTCTGCGGTGCGGCGCCTAACGCCCCCGCCGATAGGTGAGCTTTTTGATCTTGTTATTTAGTGCTTGACTCTCTTCAGTTATTTCTGATACTTCCTGAGATGTTCTTTGATCCTGATTCGAGTGCTCTGATGCTGAAGTTGTCGCTTTGAAGTCTGGTGATTCCTGGTGACAGCCGACGGCGGGAGCTCGTTGTCGAGGCTTCTTTTTCTTCTTTACCATCTTCAACTTGTTTAAACTTGGTCAATCCCCTTCTTTCCATGTGGACTATCTCTTCGAATGGTTTGATGTTCTCATTCTTCCAATAGAAGACAGCTCAAGATGTTCTTCTTCCTATGGAAGACCGAAAGCGAGGAGTAGGCTCCGCCCTGTTCCTGCCGGAAGCTCGGTGTCTCCTCCTGGGTAGAGTGACTTCCCCCGCGCCTAGAACAGCTCTTCCCTAACTCAATTATGTCTCGTTAGCTTTTCAGTTGAGCTTCTTACACATCGAAAGCAACAGCAACTGTCGTTTCTCTTCGGTCTCAAACCATCTGATCAGGCACCATGGGGGCTAGAACGTCAGGGATCGCTCCCAAGGGCGCCTCTGCAACTGACGAGCTTAGTCAAAGAAGCCATGTCTTGACAACCACTCTTCCACGTCTACCGCTCCATCTAACATGCCAGATCTTGCGCACTTGAATGCTTTAGACGGACCCTGCAAGGAACTTGGATGTCTACTCGGTCGATGAGGCTCCTATCTTCCCAACAGAGCGGGGGTGCCTAACCCCGGACAAAGGTACAAGTAGACATTCGTGTTCTTCATGGCTCATATTGTTAGGACTAGTATGTCTATCATTGCATCTCGTGCGAACACTCTTTCCAATTGATCGACAGACCGATATACGAGAACCCGTTCGAGGCCTCTCTCCGACCGCGAACCGAGAAACGCATCCAACCCTCTTCGTCGTACACAGACTGGCATTGTCACTGTAGCTTTGTGCTCTCAACCGCTCAATGCTCCATAGCGATAACCGAAGCCATTGACCCCATATCGAAACGATCGCCAAGAATAGTTCCTTGCTCCACAACCCGATCGATTAGACCGGCATCATATTGAGTCCGAGCCGACTCGGGAACCAGGAGCGCACTCAATGGGTTGATTACACATTGGAATCAGGGAATGCAGCAAGCAGAGGAAGTTTTCTGAAGTGAGGATTCCCGGCGCGCAGGTTCTCCAAGACAGGACGCGGCTATTGCGGAAGACGATTTGCCTTCACCACCTCAGCAGCTCCACGGTCTTCAAGCAGCTCGCGTCGTGAGCGAAGCACAGCGACCCGTCAATCGGAAGTTACGACTAAGTCGTCCAGATTGCTGTCAGCGTGCTCACTTGCGCCGGCTAAAGAATTTGGAAGCAGTCACCTGCCGCCAGCCTCAATTCCTTCGCGGGCCTGCGGCGGCTCTCAGCGGCTAGCCTTAGGTACAAGGTGCTTCATCGCTACTTATTTGCATGATTGTCAACGTTCTTATGTGTCTGTCCGATGTTGATCCCTCCCCCAGGATTGGAACTGGGAATCCCTACAAAACGGCCTCGGATAGAGCATAGTTGGCTGGGCCGAGGCTCGGGTGGGATCGGGTCCACTTTTTGTGGCCGCGTGGGCGAGGTTTGACCCAGAAGAGAGGCTAAGGCAAATTAGATAGGCTAAGCGACAAATTGTATCATGATAAAATCATTGAGATTCGACAAAGGGGGTATCTTGTTGGGAATGAACATCGAAGGAGAAGTAATAGCCGTGGTGAGGCACTGTGGAAGCGAGGTGCTTATGAAAGATTTGCTAGTTTATCGAATGAAAGCCATGGCTGAAGAGCTTGTGTGGTCGGGTTTATGTGCTGTCAGACCTCCGGCATCCTGGGAGTCGTAGTGACTATTGTAGAAACCGGCGAGAGGTTCGACGTTTGTCCTGCATGATGATCGACTAGGAAGGGTTGGATCTAATTCATTTTTGGAGACAGATGAGTTCAAAGCATCAATTTGGAATTGGACGACGAGAAACTCACGTTGAAGTTGAGCAAAATCTGCACAACCACCTTCTTCAGTTCCAGCCAGGCGGCGCGGAGCTTTGGATTGGTGTGTAGACCCGGATGAAAGAGTAGGATGGCTCGATCCATGAGCTTCCGCTGCGGCACGCTGGCAATGAGCCATCGCTCCGGGCGGAAGGCGTATGCGTCGTCTCCGTAGATTGTGTCATTGAAATGCGCGACGTAGGCGTTGCAGGTGACGATCGTACCACTTGGGAAGATGAATTCCGATCGCAGATTGCCCGAGACCGCTGAGGCTGGGAACTCCTTCTCACTGTCCGCGGTGCAGGTTAGGCGCATCGACTCTTTCATCACGGCGCAGAGGTAGGGAAGGCGTGATAGTTCCCTCCAGCGTGGAGTGGAGGAGAGTGATCCAGTATTGTAGGCTGAATCGATCTCGTATTGCAGGGTAGTCAGCCTTTCGGGGTATTGGAGCAGATGTGAGAAGACGGAGGCAAAGGCTGTGATGAGGGATTCAGTTTCGGTTGTAAGCTCGTCGCTCGCCAGGGTGTTGTCGTTAAGGATGTTGGGGCTGTCTAGGTTAGGTTTGTGGAGGCCAGCAGGTGTCGTGAGGGCATGGACGGGCATCATTGAACACTGTGTAAGCTGCCGACCTCGGTACCTTTTCAGTGACGATACAGGGCTCTGGAAAAGTATGTACTCTACCATCGATGGTTTGTCGGGAAGCGAGCGGGCGTTTATTGCTTGGGTCTGTGTCTGAGCTGCGTTTGACGCTGGGTCGCAGATATATTTATCAATGAGCGTCGCGGCAAATATCTTGAGAGAGGCTACCAGCTCGATACTTTGATATCTTTTGAGTGCGTCGAGGAGCTCTTGTGTTGAGCTATCGTTGATACCCTCGTATTCCAGGAATCTCGCCCACTGGCTGGTTGGAGTTTGGTCATCGCGTTCACCATGTGCCCAAACATCAACATCCTGAGACTGGGATCCCTGCAGATTGGGAAATTGCTTTTGTCAGAAAGGCTTCTGCTTTGGTATCAGAGCATGGTAACGTACCCTGATACGATTTATTTGAAACTGGTATAGCTGAGCAATGATTGCCGGATCCGAGACACTGATCCGATTTGTTCCTAGACGCACGATTCTTCCATATCTCGCATGAAGCTCTGAGAGCCTGCGACCGTCATGAGGCGAGTTACGCAGGTAAATGTGCCACCACCACGAGATGCGCGATATTAAGGGGCCAAGAACCCAGTCCAAGTGCGCGTATTGGCGGAAAGTGTAGGCCGAAGCCAGCAATGCTAAGAGAACTGCAATCACGGCCTGTATCATTGTTGCAGTCGCTCAGGATCGCACATCTTAATCCTCCAAGCATCTCCGCATTGAGATCGAGGTCGAAAGGAGTGGTGCTCTCATATAAGTTATCCGGCCGTGTGACGATCTGGGGGTATAATTTGTCCCCAGCCGCGTTATCCCGAAACCGGGTCCAGAAAATAAAACGGAGAAAACATCCCCTCAACGTCATTGTCGCTACATCAGCGTGCGACACGTCTGAAAGGTCCCCAAGCACGAGCAATCTCAAGTGGATTCAGCCTGACATTCAGCTGAGAACCTTGATTGGAGCAGATGAGGAGTCCCAAGGCCAGTCGACTCGAGATTACGTGATGGGAAACACGATTCCCCCGGGCGCATGGACATGGGGCGAACGGGCCGAGAAGTTTGATTCTGGAGGGGTTGATTTTGAGAGGTACAGAGACAGGCTGACGGTTCTGCAACAAGGGAACCCTCAAGGGGCCGATGAGACCTTAAGTTCAAAATTGACTGATAAATGTGGAAGTCGATCGCGTGGCTTCCGGGTGGCTGTATTGTAAGCCTGGAGCTGACGATCACATGCCTAGTGGTGAGTGACTACTACCATTCTGGTCACCGCCTTGGCTGTTTCCTCGGATTTCCCCGCACTGTTTGGATGCCAACCTTCTAGCCTTGCCTCGTGGTTCTCGTCTTGTTTTGTGTGGAACACCACGAGAGTAATCCGCACCAAGTGGAGTCGGCCCCAGATCCCAGTCCTCGTGTTCAGAGTTCTTGTGCGTTATCTACTTTGCTCTGGATGCTTATCAACGTAACGGTGACTCAAAAGTCCAACGTGCGCCATCCCCCTTATCAGTTGCCGCCCCCCTCCGCAATTGTATTGAACTGGACCCGACCGCCACAATCCGAGCCTCATTACAACATCTCCAGACCGTTCATAATTTCGTGATGCATATCCTGCCTTGTCACTAGCAAAGTGTGCTTGAAAATGGCTCCTGGGAAGGTCCACCGTGGATTGCAGCACCGGTCTGCCGAAGAGCGTGCAAACGCAAGGCGGTCGATGGTAGCGTATGAACGGACCCATCTTACCTTCTGCCACGTGGGTGGGACTAACGTCTTCGTGCAGATGCAATCGATGTCGCTCCAGGAAGACCCGCTGCGCTGGCAATCCCCCATATCCGTGTGCTGCGTGCGAAGACGTAGGTTATGATTGTGTGTATTCCGAAGCCGAGAAACGTGTGTCTATAACCGAGAGGTGAGTTGACGACGACACCTACACATCCATTGTCTAATTGAGTAGTCACTTCCGTCGCTTGCTATCCGATGCACAAGCCGCTCGTCAGGGTCTGTTTCGTCCTATACAGGCTATCGTAATTCCCAGCTCACCCTTATCCAGATGGAAATCGCCCTCCACCACCTGCTCCCAGCTCCACATCAACTTCCCAGAGCACTTCCCTAACCCCAGCGGAGACATCGCTCGAACGAGACGACTGGTGGTATAATGGAGCCGATAACCTCTTCCTTAATCGGTCAGGCGAACATCGTACGTGCCCCTCTTACCTTCGCAGGAAAGACACTGAAGGATTCATGATCCGATCAAGAATTTATTGGAGCATCATCCGCCACTCATTTGGCCAAGCGTCTCAACCCAACCTCAAAGAATTTAGCGTTGGATGTGCGCCCACTTTATGACGATCCAACCTCCCTACGTCGCTCCATATCGCCGGCTTTACCTCAATTGCCGCCGTTCGAATACGCCAAGCGTCTTTATTGGGTTCAGTACAGTTACATCGGAACAATCTTTTCCCTTATACAGCCACATGACTACGAAGAGCGACTTTACATAGTCTATCACCAACCTCCAGATCTGTTTAACCGGGAGTCATGTCTGGTCTATTGCCAGGTCCTGCTTATCATCTCGTACGGGCTAATGTACTCGGTGAATCAGTGGTCGGGAGATGATGGTCCTCCCGGCTTCAAATACTTCAAGCATGCACTTCGCTTCCTACCAGACATTCACGAAGAGGGCTCCATCTTCTTTGTCGAAGTACTATGCTACGTAGCATATTATATGCAGAACTTGAATCGGCGGGATGCTGCATTCCTCTATGTATGTGGTTTTCGTCACCCACATGATGACAGATGCTTACAAGTGTGATGAATAGATCGGTACCGCTCTGCGGATGGCCATCTCATTGGGACTTCATCAAGAGGCGTCGGATCCGGCAATGAGCGAAGAAGACCGGAATCGTCGACGTCGATCCTGGTGGTCTGTGTACAGTTTGGATAGGTAATCCTGCCCCAGCTCAGGGGAAATGACGTTATCTGACAGAAGCTAGGCTCCTATCCGTGAAGTCCGGAAATCCTATAACTATCCAAGATGAAGACATAGGGACAACTTGGCCGCGACCGGTTGTGAGTACTTGATTTTTCAAGGTATATGTGAGCATGAACTGACTGCACATAGAACCCCGGAGACATTGTCCCCTGGCCTTCTGTTGTTCTAATTCACTACACTCAATTATCAAGAATACTTGGTCGCATTGGAGAAGGTAGAAGTGGCCTCTTTAACCTACAAGAGGCTATCGCTAACTCATTGCTTGAAGAAATATATCGGAAGAAACCTCGCTCTGGGTCAAACCTACTCCTCTCAGTACAAAGTATCATGGACGAACTATTCGACTGGCTACGGCGGGTACCTGACCGCTTGCGTATTGATTTTTCAACCCTCGGAACGCACATCAATCGCGAATCAGTGTCATTGTTTCTACATTTCTACTCATGTGTCAACATGACAGCAAGACCATTGGTCTTTTATGTAATCCAGCGACGTCTGGATGCAGAGACAGCGGGATCAGTAACGGATGACTGGAAGAAAGGACTTTCCCAGAATGCCGTGCAGGTGATAGAGAGCTGTATTTCAGCTGCTCGTGCTACCATTATGATCATGGATGCTGCGTCTAAGCAGAACCTGGTTGGTATGTACATTCGAGTCCCTCAATTTTGATGTGGTTGGCACTCTAACACTCGTGTAGCGACCTACGGATATCTGGATGGAGAGTATATCTTTTCAGCCGCTCTTTTGCTGGTCATGGTCAATGCGGCATTCCCGCACAACGATTCCAATGCGCGATCCATGGCGACCGCGCTGAATCTCCTCCGTGGGATGGCGGATCGAGGAAATATCATCCTCGAGGCTCGTCACTCATTGCTTCTTGAACTACAGTCCGCCATTGGACCCAATCGCTCAAGGGATGTGGACAACAATGCTACGGATATACCGGCCACCCCCGCTAGCACACAGAAGCATACACCGTCCTCTAGCATCGTTGAACAGGCTGCACGGACAGGTCCAAGACTTCAGAACCAGGATATCTCTTCGGTGCAGGACATATCCTTTGACTTCGATGTAAATGATGATCCTGGCCTTTGGGAGGAGGTCCTTCATCAAATTGATATCGACATGGACACCGATTGGATTGAGCAAGCGTTGCGCAAATAGGGAGAATAAAAACCATTTCAATTAGGTCCAGGTTTCCTTCATCTTCACACTCTCTAAGTTATATTGAGTAACCCTTGATGAATGTGAGCAGATGCACGCCCCGTGGCTGCCTAGTGTGACACGATTAATTGGTGAAATGTTGCCCATATTATGACTTGATCCGACTCACCTGATTTCATTCAGTAGTAGAGACTTGTGTGTCAGCATCATGCCGTAGCCTGGAGGTATCTGTAATATTCTCACTAGGACGCACCTCGAAGTGCACTTACCCAAAGCGGTATTCCACCGGGCGGCTGTAGGCTGCAGCTGGGAGAATAATAAGCCGCTTGCAAGACCACCACATTTCCCCGCTCGCCCTCTCTATCGACCATTCCAACACCATCGTCCCAAGCCATTGATCGTGGTGACGTGCCATCACCGGCTCTTTTCAATTGACAACTAGCAAAGTTCCCGTCGGCGCCCGTACTGTTTGCCACAATGGTCTTACGGCCCAACAATTCTCCCTTGACTCCGGAGTTCGACGCCCTGGTCGAGGAGAAACTAGCCAAATGGAAGGTGCCTGGACTGACAGTATCAGTGGTCCATGGCTCCAGCACTTATGCCAAAGTAACTGCCAACTTCCAATGCTATCATCACATAGTATGAGCTAACCCTGGAGTGCAGGCATACGGGATTGCGGAGTTTCCCGATAAGAAGATGACCGTCGCGTCTCTCTTCGATACGTGCAGCACCACGAAAGCCTTCACTGCGGCCCTCATGTCGATGGCCATTGACCACAGCAAAGCCACGCCAGCTCCGATCCGCTGGGACACTCCCGTCTCGTCGCTGATCAGGGATGATTTTGTCTTGGCAGACCCGTACGCCACCGCCAACACCACCGTTGAAGACATGCTCTCCCACCGCTCCGGACTACCGGGGCATTTCGGCCCCATGTCCCTCGCCTTTCCAAACGAGACCCTGCGCGAAGAGGTGCGGAAGCTCCGCCACCTGCCCCTTGCGTTTGCTCCCCGGACAACGTTCAACTACTGCAACCATATGTTCATGGTTGCCTCGCATGTGCTCGAGCAATTGTCCGGGACAGGGCTGGGGAGCTTGATGAAAGAGCGGATTTGGAAGCCTCTTGGGATGACCGATACGTATTTTTCGAACAAAGAGGTTCTCGCGTGTCCGTCGACCGCACGGCGTCTGGTGAAAGGCTACACCTGGGATCCTACCGCCAATCGCCACGTCGAGCGCCCTTACATGGATTACGCGCCGACCACGGGCACGGGCGCGATCGTCAGTAATGTGCTCGACTATGCGAAATGGATACGCACGATGATATATCGAGGAGCGCCGATTTCACTACAGGGGTATAAGGAGCTTTTTTCTCCGCGGACCATCATCCAAGACTGGGAGGACTTGATCATCCCGCCGGGACAAGTTCACCTCTATGCGCTCGGGTGGTTCGTGGATAACTACCATGGCGAGCAGATATTCTGGCACTCGGGGAGCTGGGAAGGGTTCGGCATCATGGTGGGCTTTGTCCCGAGCAAGAGATTCGGCTTTGCCATGATGGGCAACACGCAGAAGGCGAGATACGCGGAGCTGGAGCTCTACCTCTATCTCCTTGATCATTTGTTGGGCAGGTCGGGCGAGGACAGAGAGGCCTATATCGCCAAGATTGATGCCATTGTGCAGGAGAGGCTGAGAACACAGCTGCAGAGCCTCGAGGAGGTCAAGCGTCGACTGTTTCCAGGATTCAACCATCAATTGCCTCTCCCGTTGTCGCTGAATGACTATACAGGCACATACTCGCATCCAGGCCATGGCCCCATCACACTGTTTTTGAAGGATGAGAAGCTGCATGTGAACTTGATGGATCGGGTTGCCAAGGCATGGATGCGCTTTGAGCATGTGAGCGGGGTGTTCTTTGTCGTGAAGGGTTATAAGCCCGAAGCAGAAGGGGTTGACCCTGAGTACATGGCGGCGCAGTTCCACGTGGGCGTGACGGGGGTGGTGGAGAGGCTGGGCTTGGACCTGGAACCTGCACTAAATGGACAGATGATCTGGTTTGAGAGGGTGTCGGGCCGACAGTGCCCTTGACCTCCCAGCTGCAATGCCGCCCCACATTCAACTATTCAAAAAATGATACACATAACAGTACTGATACAGATAGAGTATGCGTAGTAAAACTCTAACCTCAAGCTCGATTACACGAACCCTCCCCCTATACTCAGAGTCGGTGAATGACAAAAGAAAGTATCAATCAAGAGAAGCACGAAGATATATACAGAGAAAGTCAAGGCCCTTCTCAAACGAAGCTATACAAACAAGATAGTCTTACAAGATCAAGGAGCTGTTTGCCTAGGCAGTATGACACTCGATTTTTCGGGCTGGAGCAGAACAACCCGGCGTTGATAGCCAACACCCACGATGGATGTTCATCACTGGACCTCCAAAATCTCCTGGAGGCGGGTTCTCCTAAATTGTCACATTCCGAGCGAAGTGGAGGCCCAATCTCCGAGTTCAATGCACAGCCCAAGACCTCGGTCTGGAACTGGGAGTCGAGGGAGTGGCTCTCGGAGGAGACGGTGCGATGCGATAGTCGGGGGTAATTGTGAAGCCTCTCCCCTGTGCTCATGGAGGTATTGCAAGCAATGGCTCTCTTATGCGACTCTTTCTCTGCAATCTCCTACAGGCCTAAGTCGCGCTTGCCCCGATAAGGGAACCACTACTAGGAGGGGCATCATATGTTAGGTGCCTGTCAACCAGCCGGACTACGACTGCCTTCAGCGCGCCAACCATCCGGGGAACTCCCCCGGAAGCCACAGGCCCAAGCTCCCGGGAACCCGAACGCAAAGCTCCGGCGTAGATCTTCGGTCCCGGCCGGGGAGGCTCGATTTTGTTTACGGCGTAAGAAAGACGGAATTGAGAAGGCATGCTCCACGTGACAGCCTTGCAGACGAGGGAACATCTCCGAGGCTACCGTCCAGAGGTGATAGATTACCAGAAGATTCCAGTTGCCTTCTGCGTCGGTCAAAAAGCCGAGTTGATTGGCAGACTATCCAACTGCGGCCAGAAGTCCAACATCAAATCCTTATCCAATGCAAAGTAATCCAGCAAGGACTCTGTACGGGAATCTAGGCCAATCGAGTCTATGTAGTGGTCGTGGTCAAAGGCAGGGTGAGAAGTGGCGTTTGAATTGTTATTGTGCTCTTCGTTTCCTGTCCTTGAGGCGCTCGCTTCACCTCGTGGCATTTGACCGGTATGGCCCGTCGTACTATGAGGCTGCGCAAGTACCATGCCTGCTACCGCAGAGCCGCTAATCTCCGTTGCATCCTGGGGATGTGATGCGTCTGTGTTAGGTAGACCCAGACGGGTCAGTTCCTGGCGCAAGCCTTGGAGAATGACGCTATACTTCCAGGAGGGTGCGTTGCGAGCCGTAGCATTAGCCAGATGATCTTGAGCAAGTGTGGACAGCTTGTAGAGCGTTGCTTCATCCAGCTCGGCATCAAGCGAGCCCTCGGGTCTTGGCAGGAAGGGCGGACGAACGCGGAAGATCCGCCCCCGTCCAAGTTGAATCAAATAAATGTATATTATAGAAAGAGCGTTGAAGGCGATGTACTGCGAGTACCAGAATGCCGTATAAAGCTCGTCATCGTGCACGAAGCCGAGAATCAGCTCAATGGCATCGCAGGCTGCCGTAAGGCAGGTGCAGAGAAGCTGCTGGTAGGTCGCCTCACACTCCGGCCACATCTGCCCATAATTCCGCAGCAACAGCGGCCTCGTGATGAACATCACGGCATGGTATCGGGCCAGTCGCAGTACTGTCAGCTGGCGCCGGAAGACCGGCACCAGACTGCTTGGGTGGATAACGCCTGACAGGAACGGGGGCAACCCAGCCTGCCACGCCAGTACCTGTTCATGTAATGTGCAGATCGTTGCGATCTGTTCTTGACTGGATATTCCGGTTTGCACATAGGGTTTTTTGACAGCCCTTGTCAAGATACGAGCTAGTAGAACATGAAACACGGGGGCGTCCATCAAGCAGTCACGCTTTGTGAGTCGATTCTCTTGAGGCGTTAAGTCTGAATCATTGACCCGTGTAGGAAGGTCCTCATCAATGTCTTCATCCTGCCATAAGCGTGGTCGGCCCAGCATGACGCTGAGATACTTGTCCAGAGTGTATGAGCACCATACGAGTCGCCGCTGACATTCCTTCTGAACTAAATTGTGCCCGTCATGGCCTCTTCTTGTGCGTCCGTTGTGCAAACCAAGGGCCATCATCAGCTGGACCGTTGTTCCGAAGGTGAACCACGCTTTGTGAGGCCTCGAGGAGCTAAGCAAATATAGCACCATGAGGAAACGAGCCTGAACAGATGCCATGCTCGGAGCCCCCGTCTCACGAGAAAGGAGGTGGTCCGCCTGAGCATAATACATCTCACTCTTCTGCCAACCATGGTCATCTGCGTCGCGCATACGTCCACTCATGTCTACCCGAAACATCGTTGCGGTGCTGAAGAGAAGCAAGAGAAGAGCTTGCGATGCCGCCTCGAGCGGAGGCTTGACGGGCGATGAGCCGGACCGGTCGTGCGGCCTTTGGTTTTCGTACATGCGATATACCAGCCTCTCGACAGTAGGTTGATGGAGAATTCGGTAGGTTGGTGCAGCAAAGTCGAAGTATCGCTGAAATAGGCCTACAGCAGTAGCCCTGTCAGGCCACGTGAACCGAATGACCGAGGATAGCGACACAACGCGGTCGCCATAGGAGAAAATCGAGATTGTCGAATGCGTATCGTGATCATGCTGCGGTGAAGGCGAACGTCGCGTCGCAGGATGAAGATCTTGAACAACACGGTCGAGGAAGGAATGCGCAGACGTAGGACCCCAGTATTGACCGGCCACCTCTGGCGAGCTTCCGTCTCCTCCCACCTCGACCAAGGACTCTTGGATCGGACGTGCCGACTCAGATGCCCGGGAGATGAGCGGACTGTGCGAACCCTCGACAGCGGTGTATTGGAACCCACCCGTCGGGGTTTGCCGATTGCGAGGGTAAGGGGAAAATGCATTGCCGCCACTATATCTCCTCCCACGGCCCGGGGTTGGGAGTTGACGATCATCGTTCGAGGCGGATGGCGGGGGGCTGAGGGCTACCCCGCGATTATAGGCCGTCTGGTAGGTGCATTCCAGATGCTTGCGAGTACATGGACCACAAGGGATGTTTCCGGTGCAGGCCTTTTTCTTGGCCTTGCAGGCGTCGCACGCCCTAGTGACCTTTCGGACTTTGCGTATGTGCTCGTGGGAATCGTCCGACCTCATTTTCCGCCTGGGGGACTTTTCCCGACCGGCGGTCAAATGCTTGTAGCAGAGTAGGAGAAAGCGTGCTGTCATGGAGCTACTGTATGATCAGCAACGCATATTGCTTGTTGAACTTGCGCTCTTCAAATGCTGTGTCGTGTTGTATTGGAAGCGTACAGCTAGAGCTTCAGAGTCATTGCTTGGGCTAGTATGAGGAAGGTGGGTGTGTGAGGAACAAGTCGAGTTCACTTGTCTCCCGACAGTTTCCGCCATTTTTCCGCCGACGTGAAAGAACAAAGCAACGCGCTTGGAAAGAGGGAATCTCGTGGTGGGTTTCCTGAACCTCTAGAGCCAATGAGCGCCGAACATTTATCCACTTTTCTCTTCCTCCCCCACAGAGATCTGCACGCTGATCTCGATTCGAGTTTCAGCTGAAATCTGACTTGTTGGAAACCCAGGCTTCAGCCAGTCACGGCCCCAACGCCATGCACACCATAATGGCGGTCAGGAGAGTAGAGAGGTAAAGTCTGTCTCGAAATCCCTCTACGCAGCAGACACGTGAGCGTTTCCCGGCATCACTGCCGAGCATTTCAACCAAGGATCGATATTTACCTATTCTCATCTGAATGAGGTGCGGGCGTTGGCTTGTTGGTATCTAAAACAACTGGCTTTAATGCTTGCTGTGGTAGCTCATTGATCGAATAAAAGCTGCAGGCTAATGTTGCGTTGCTTTGCCGATCAGAAGCAGTGAGTAAATATGTGACGAAGGGCCTATATTTCTATCCACAGCGGGGGCCGATTCCTTTATCCAATGAGGACGTTCATACAAGAGTTTCTGAACTCAAGGATGCATGATTATCAGATCTGGAGGGGTAGATCGTGTGAGTCATCGTACACCTGATGACCTCGCCTTCCAGGCCCCACCAAGCTGATATGACGTGAGCTGAGTGAGGACTCTGCGTAGCTGAATATCGCACTTGGCCGCCATAACTGAAAGACTGGTTTGCTCTGAGATTAACTCTTAAATACCCGTCCTTTCTCCCGTGGGACCCCTTTTGATTTCAGCTATCTTCTGGTCAATCTCTACCTGGATCCGAGAACCAAACACTAGCATCTCATAATTTCGTTTCTCATATTCCTTCCACATTCACAATGGTTGCCGCAACCGATATTCCATTTGACGCCTCCAAGCACGCATATCGGACGGACACTGCTGGGCTCCAAGTCGTTGACGAAAACTTTGCGGCTCGTTATGAGACAGCAGCGAAAGAATTTGAAGATGCTCTCAATAAATTTGCATCTACCGACAAGGAAGCTCGACAAGCATACATTGATCAACAACCGTATATGCCGGAAACTATTGCTTTTGGTGACTGGGTCCAAAGGGTATGTTATTTCTTGTTTAGTACTTAATCCTAGCTGCTAAGCCGCTTTCTAATATTCGCTTTCAAGAGTTATCCTTCGTGGATTGAGGCAGAGGGAGTTCTGCGATACAAAGGTCAGAATTTGACCCAGTACGCTTATATGACGTTTGGGCCAGATGCGTACGAGAAGAAAATCAAAGACCAACGAACGCAACAACTCATTAGCCCGGCGCTCAAAGCGGGATACACACCTCAGGTGTATTAAGATAGACCATTCAATTGAGGAGCAAGTTTCAATTTGGAAGAAGTACTTACAGTATGATGATGATTCTTTTACTTACTATGGTCTCTTGCCAAAATGATATACAGGCTACTATCTTTGTTATCCTGACATTAGATATCTAGTGTCTTCTATTTCCTGAGAATAGATTTAGAGACTTATCATGCTTTATTATAGCCCAATTCCTGTTCTTGTTACGAGGCCGCCCCCATAGTATACAGTTATGAGATTATCATAACATCTTGGTAAAGTCTAGTATAGTATCAATCATTTTTGCCTATAGAATAATCTCTAGGTTATTTGTCTCATCTTAGTTTAAGTCGTTGAGTATGCTTACTATATTGTCAAATATACTCCCTAATTTTCCTATATAATATGATAGCTATTATAGCTTTAGCTAGTATGAGAACTGAGGAGTGGAACAGCATGATGGTTATCTCTCTCAAGGGTCAAAGGTGATAACTATTGTATGATATATCCTTACTAAAGAATCATTGCCGGCTCATAACTTGTTTCTGTGTTTTCTTTTTGGTTTTTTTATGCTAGCTGAAATTTTAATCGAATAATATTGTAAATTATTATAAGCTCAGCTGCATAGACCGGCCAGTACTCCATCAAGCCAATGTTGACTTGTCGAGTATGCTTACAGTATGTCAGGAAATTGGCGTTATCCCTCAATCCCAAGATACACGAAACCAGTTTCAGAAAGACTATATCACCTTCATTTTGCTTTTTTGGGGTGTACTGTGAAATGCCAGATTATAATATTAGCGAGATAATTGTTTTCTTAGCTGCGACCTGAATGCTCCACGTTAACTGTCCGAGTCCTCACCAATTTCCTCGGAGGCATGGAGTCCTTCCCCATATCATTGACAAACGATAAATGTGCATCTGGATGTTCCTCCATAAACTTCTTGTGATAAGCCTCCGATTCCTTCCATTTCCTTTCCTCTTCCTCTCGGGCCTTCTCTTCCTGCTCCTCCTTAACCTTGTCTTTCTTTGCCTTTTCCTCCCGCGCTACTTTAATAAGAGCAATGTAGAATTCCTTCTCCTTCCCAATAACTTCATAGCCACCCCACCATTTGGCGTGTTTAACCAGCAGATCCCTGGGACATTTTCTCCAGCTAAAAAGAGGCTCTAGCACCATGAATCTATAATCCGATTCGCGCGACTTAACATCGATTCCAGCCGGCACAAAATGATGAGCGTTGGAGTCCGATCGACAGGAACCGCCGGCGGGATTGTCTAGCAGATAACCCGAATAATATCCTTCGGTTTTCAGAAAAACAAGATCATCGTCTTGGTTGTAAGCTAGACACCAGCCCGAGAGCGGATCGCCACTCCCCTTGCCAGTGGGCGCGACTGCATTCCCTAAGCAAAGTCAGCTTTGTCCTATATTCTATGGTTAATTGTCCACTTACAAAGGTAGTAAAATTCCCAGCCAATGGGTCCAAGTTCCACCCCAAGCTTTTCATAGTCCTTGTCATTCATTTGCCAATTTTCCCCCATTTTGAGGAATGTGTGGGCCTGTGTTAATGGGGAAAGAAATAAGTTAAGCCTTGGCGAAATGTACTATACGACCTGAAAGGTTGATGATAGAGGGAGGGGGATATTTAAAGCAAGCTGAAAAGGGGAGTGAGGGCTTACTATTTGTATCCTGTTTAAGTTGGTGCTAGGTATGACGCATCCCTACCTACGCCAACTTCATCATTCATTAGTGTGACGAAAATGTTTTCAGCTGAACCATCAACTGTTTTCAGCTAGCGTTGACAAAAGCCAGTCCTCTTTCTAATCGGCGGTGGGGGTAAGTTTGACGATCATCTACGTGATTAAAAGCCAATCCTCAATGTGAGTTCATTTCCTCGAGAGAATTGAATTGACCACATGAGAAGCTACTTCTCGATGGCGGGTACGCTGAGTACAATCTTTCACTAAAACAACAATGGCAGTGTCATCGACTCTCACCCGGCGGTGGCGGGCAATCTCCCGCTGTAGAACCTTTTCTGACTTCTTCTCCAAGAACAATCGCCAAAAGGCACTTGCGGTCCCCTCATGTTCTTTCGATTGCCATGATCACTGGGGTGTCGATCACTGCGGTGTCGTATTTGAGAATGGCAATCAGATGACAATGCTTTGATCAGCACCCCATCAATGCCCTGGACAGCAGACGAAAGACGTACAGTTGAGCCGAACTATCCGCCATTGATCAGCATCTTCAGCTGAGAAATGTGGAGCATTCCCACCCCGCATCTTAGGGTTTACGCAGATACTCACCAACCACCGAACTGAACTCCACAGCCCCACCTGTTCAGTGGCTAACGTAATTCCCGATCAGTCCACCATCCCGACCGATCCGTCAACCTCGAAACATCGAATTCTAGTATTTTCCTGTATATTATAGTCAGAATACCTTGATCGACTATTGCTCCGAAGTCTAGGCCGTGACCTTCAGCGGAGTGGGGATCAGTTTAAAGCCAACATCAAGGCCGAGGGCCTGTCGAAGGGAACGAACAGAGTCACTCACGGCTACGTTGTCGTGAACTTGTTCCGGACAAGCCACAAATCACTCCGTTAAGAAATGGAGGAGCGAGACACGTGCAGCAAGCCCGGTCATGATTTAACATCATTGGGGGTTTCAGCGGTAACTCGCTAAACCTGACCCAGTTCCGACAGGCGGCAAGACCTGGGTGAACAAAAACCTATAACAGAAGGGATTCGCAGGTAGTCACCCGCCCAACTACTAACCTCCCGGCGGTGTTACTTGATCTCCGCAGCAATTCAGTGTTTTCAGTAATTTAACTATGTTACTCTACTTGCTTACTTCATTCCATTCTTCTCCCAGTGCGGTACATCCAGGGCTGCACATGCCTGGCATTCATCCACGTACAGAGGACTCGTACTTCCATCTACTCAGGAGAGTCGAAGTACTTCACAGTGAATCTGCCATTCTGGTTCTGTGTCGCAGTAGCATGGAACTTCCCCGCGCCCTCGCCACTGCTAAAGTCCACGACAGCACCATCTCTCTCCACAGCAGAGCGGTCGAAAATCTCACCAGGCACCTGCTGACTCTCCGTAGCGAAGAACCTCATCTTAGGAGTGACTTGGAGGCACTGGTTGCTGTGCGGAGCAACCTTGTGATCGGGAAGGGTCATCAGTCTGTAGACAATGAACTGCTGGACGCGTCTTTACCGATCCGACTGGAGCAACCCGTCCTCTGTTTTTGGGCATACTAAAGTCCGTGCCGGTTTTGACCTCATACGAACCCGTCGTCGCAGAGAGTTCCATCTCTTGGATTGTTGAGAATGATTCAATAATCTTCATGTCAAAAGTGCCTATTTGCTAGGCGAGAAAAGTTAGATTCTTTCTGCTCTCCGTGGTTGTACAACTTCTTATTGTGAGATAGCTATTGACATGTACTGGAGTAATCTACGCCCAGATGCGCCTTCAGAGCCCAGCCGGGCGAGCAGGCTCATGCCACTGCTAACTACTACGCCGGGAGCGGACGAAGTAGGCACAGTTCCCACCCCTGCAAAGCTCTTTGTCGGCTCGCATGGCCTATGCATCTCATAGAGGCACAGATGGCAACTTACAAGCGTAGAAGTCCTCACCAGTCTCAACGCTGATGAAAGGGACGAATGTGGTGTACCAGTTATTCAACCACAGTTCCTGGCCGGCAGTGAATTCTGGGGCATCCATCATCATCACTGCATATTTCGTGTTGGCACCGCTCCGGTTCTCCGCTTCGATCGTATAACGGTTCATCTTGCTAGCGTTTATCAAGATAGAGAAGAGACAATTTCAGTTGAGATAGACCCAGGGTGAATGATAGGTATTTAACCTTGTCGAGTTGAATTAGACTTGGAAGCTACCAGACAGCTTTAATAGGAAAACCTCACTCCAGGTAACTGAGCAGAGGATGTTCCATTACGCTCGAGCTCTGATCTCAGCGCTGATCAGGGAGTGTCGTCGACGGGGCTGACGAAGCATGACGTGCACAAGTTCCTCTCGAGTCGAAGGCCGAAGAAGAAATTGACCTTGTACCCATACATTCGGGTTCAGTTCAGTGTATATTGAGGACAAATCCACGATGAAGAAATTGATATCAGTTTTCTTCAATAGTCGCAATCACAGCCAAACTGATCTTGATGAAGGTAAACACAAAAAGAGAAAGAAAAGGCAAAGTAAAAAGAAGAGAAAGAAGGACGAGGACAGTTTAGATCTATACAAGAAACCAATTCGCTGAGATTGTGCTATTTCTACAGATATACAGGTTATACATTACACAAAAGGGGAAAAACAAAGATTTGCTAGTGTGACACCTGAGTAGTCTAGAGTAATCTTGTCTAATTGGACTTCCTCCTCGCGTCTTATGTCCATCCAAGGAACACAATTCCGTAATGTGTCTGCCCCGCACCAGACCAATCTGGGGCAGTGGCTCGGAAGCCTCAGCTCGATAAGCAAGCAGCGGATCCGCGGCATGCAATGCATAAGATCTCAGACCGGATCCTAGCCTACTTACTCATGCGCTGATGGATCAGCCTTTTTTGAACGAGCTCGACTAATTATTTGTTTAGCCCGTGATATTTGGAGCTCGATATTCTGAAACTCCAGTGAGAGACTAATCCCTACCTTCTTTGACACCATCTCATTAGAATCCACGTCATGAGATGATCCGCACACCCAGTGGAGAACGTGGCTAATCCAAAGGCTAAGGCTGTGACTCCTGCTAATCTCTTCCTTACATGGCCGTTTACTATTTACGGTGGGTCCAGATAAAAGTGGGCGTCCATACTTTTACCCTAACTCAAGTTGCGCTTACATCGTGTCCGTACTCGACTGTACCTACATGGCACGATGTAACTGCTCTTGAGAAACCGATACTCTATGCTAGGTACTTATCTTCTCGATCCTACCAAGTTCATACGATCAGTAGAAGACTGACTAGTTGATAACCACAGCGACACAAATGTTGCTTTCAACGTCCCCCCTTTCGACTCTCCACCTGCTCTAATAGTTCTTCATATAGGATGCAATCCTCGCATTCCATGCCGAGAAATGCTCCACCTCCGTTCTGCTCGTCATCTCCATGTTGCCCCGCCAGACCTTCGATTGTTGCAATCTCCTGGCTCGGGACGGGTTCATGGCCTTGAAACCCCATTCCGCCCAGCGGACTGAACTGATGCAGTTGGACCTCCTCCGGGAGTTTGGCAGCGGCCAAATCGCGAGGACGAAAGTTCATTTTCAATTCCACAAACTGGGCGGCCCAGATCTTCTCCTCCGTGTCGTCACCCGTCGATCCTCCTGCCTTGATACCCACGTGTGGACCTTGGCCACTTGCATCGGCTAAGCCGGTCAGTGCAGCCACCGTGGGATCTAGAGTCGATCCAGGAATCCCCGTTAATGCATGAGGCGAATGCGACCAACCAGCCTCTATACGAGCCTTGCCGATGTACTGAAGCCCCGTCACCAACCATACCCGGGGATGACGAGCAGTGCCAAGGATGGCGCGGCTGAGATAGTGCATCGTGCGCGAGACGGTCAATTGCGTAGCGAGCCATCGCTTCGCCTCTGCGGACGGTAGGATCACTTGCTCGAGGAACAATTCTGGTCTGGTCGGATTGAGAATGTCAGTTCACGAGGAATTGTGCAGTGGGTTTTATCCTACCGCTGAATCGTGACTCGTCGGCTCTGCTCCCCTTCGAGTCGGACCTCAACATTGCTGTCCTCGCCAGTATCCTGAGGGCTGATGGCAAGGCGGCTCGCGCCTGCAAGCCATTCACGTGAAGCACTTAGATTTAAGGTGCAGTGAATCTCATCACTGGAGCTGCTCACCCATGGTGAAAGTTCTGCGTCCCTACTGCGAATTAGCTCTGCACTTGACTGGATCCAGTCCCAACCTAGCTACAAAAGACCAAATCACCCACTTGATCGGACATTGGGAAATCTTTCGTGAATCGCCCTCGGGATCTGTGGGATCTAGACAAAGACTACCGAGTTTCAGAATCTCTGACCTCAGTCCCCTGCTGTAGACCAGAAATGGCTGTTCTCGATTACACTGGTTCATTTCTGTACGGTTAGAGAATCCACGTACAGGTCTTTGAGTGTAGAGCATGTGGTAGATGGCAAGGTCGCCGTTTTTGCTTTCCCCGCAGGGCCACCGCTGCAGCCACTGATTCGGCCCAAATCAAACAGACGGACCCCTCTTTTGGGCGCCCGAACAAATCACTGATCATCTCCATCCTGCCTGACTAGTCGAGGTTTCGTGTTCGGAGCTACTCGATTGGTTACGAGTTGTTAGAGCACTGTAATGCTGTTATCAGTAGCGATATCACACAAGCGATCCTTTCTGGAAACCATACAGTACCTACCTATACATTTGCCAATGTGACATGATGTCATTTGCTCTTCCGCTACAAGATATCTCACTAGCGTCAGAGGCACCTTTCAACCAGATCACTCCACGATCCCATTATTACAATACATCTCCTTGCAGGTCTTCAAAAGCCCCATAAGCCGACGAAGTTACTTTCCTCAAACACCGCCATGATCGTCAAGCTCAGGAGTGGGATGATTCGCGAAGCAAACTCGGCATGAATAGGATCCACATTCTTATAGAACTCGCGGTCCTGCAGAGAGTCAAACTCAACCATGAAGATGTGGCTATAATCCTACAGCATTTATCAGTACTCGTATGCATGCGAGGCTGGACACTCTGGCATCATACTGAAGACAACTCTGGGGTACATTCCACTCCGCCTCGTATACTTTTGATATACAGCCTATCTGACTCATCCTTGCACTTTTGAGAAAGAGCCATGAACTCTTGGAGAAACTGGCATACGTCAGAAGAGGTCACAGGTGGGTCGATAGCACTCTTACGGCTTGCCGACGGCCTTGAGAAATCTCGGGTTTGAATCGGAAGAGGACTAAATGTAGGATGGTCATTTTGTGAAGAAGAATGAAAAAAGGAAAAAAAAAAAGAAAAAAGACCTCACTGAGGTGATACTAGGGAATTAATGGCTGCTACGAAGGCTATCTATATCTTTGATCCTGGGCCTTGGGTTCGGGGCGCGGGATTTGCTGGCCTGGATAATGCCCTTCCGTGCTCTCGGTCAACTGTGTTTCATTGGTTTAAAAGAGGATGCGTGATAAATCTTGTGGATCTTGACATTACGAAGCAGAACTCAACGGAAGAATGTCGATTATCTCGATGAAAAAACTCCCCGACTGTAGACAGGCGTTTTTGAAGATTTTTTCATCAACCGCGGATAAAAGGGTCCGCACGCACCTGGCTAAGTTACATCAAGGGACTCGGGCCTGTCAACACTACATTTTCTGAACCGCACTCGAAACCACATTCATCGACAGGGCACTGGACAACCTTGTCCCACGAGAACACTAAACTATAACCTCTCGATTGTACATTCTCGCTTTTATCACCAGGCATTTCAGAATCCACCTTTTCCCCAGCATCAACATGACTATCAGCGAGAACCGCAACATCATCATCGTGGGCGTTGGCTCCCTCATGTCCAAATCCCTTGCCCTCTGGCTGGCAAGCCTCGGATGGAACATCGCCCTGATATCCCGCTCCGAGCAGAACCTGTCAGCTATCGCCAAGGAAGTGCGCGAAGCGCAGAAAAGCCCCGCGGCCAAAGTCCTCTACCGCACGGCCGATGCGGGCGAACCTGCAAGCCTGACCGCAGCGCTCGACTGGTGTCTCCAGGAACTCGGAGGCACGCTGGACGTCCTGTGCTACAACGCGGCCCGCGTCACCGTCACGGATATCACCAGCACAAGGCCGGAAGAGCTGCAAGAAGACTTCAAGATCTCCGCTGTCGGTACGTTGGTGGCGGGTCAGTGGTTCGCTGGCGAAAACCATGCCCGGGTCGACCGCGTGGCCCAGGGCGAATGGCCCCTGTTTCTTGTCACGGGTGGCACTCTAGACAAGGAGCCGCAGCCCATCTTTGCCTCGCTGTCCTCCGTGAAGGCCGCGTCGCAGACACTCAGTCGCCTGTTCGCCGAGGCTTTGCCGGACAAGGCCAAGATCCTGGTGGGGATGCCGCTGATTACGGGGCGGGTGGTGAGCCCGGGCACTGAAGGATATCAGCCAAAGTTCGACCCGGGTACGGTGGTCGCTTCGGTCTTCAAGCCCTTCTTCGAGGATCGTGAGGCCCGTTGGGATGGAAAGCTGGGGTGGGTGGTGGAGAGGTATCACTGAGAAGACTGGGTCGGTGGGGCTCCTCAGTAGAGTTTGGAGAGAGGGCGGAAGGGCATTATCCGCGATCGGTCGTGCCAATTTGCAACAACTCCAATTCTGCGGGCAGTACTTTGTTATCTTGTTAAGCCCGCCTAGCCTCAGTAAGGATTATTAGGGCTATCAGGGTCTTAGGCTATTTTAGGCCCAAAGTATTGTTACATTAGGGCTCTTTATTAGGGAATCTTGTATATGAGTTTTATGTTAGGTCAGTTCAGTTACAGGGGAAAGCGGTCTGTTGGGCGGTGAGGCTATAATATATCAAAATGCTACAGAAATACCATGGAAATGGGGATTGAAAGTCGGCACGAGTACGGAGTAGCTTGCCGTAGCTTCCGACATCTGTGGCACAGGGAGGCAGACCACTGCACTACACTACTACAGCACTATAATTACTGGGTATCGCCCATGTGCCGACGGCTAACCACAAAGTGGAAATTCAATGGCATTTAATCTCAAAATCTGGTGCATTCATCAAAATAGACCCAGCCGCTCGCAATATGACTTCCCGTCAGCGGGTATCAATAGCATGTCAGGCGTGTCGAAAGAGACGTGTCAAAGTCAGTACCGCCATCGTCCCACTATGAAAGGTCCCTAAAAAATCACATAGTGCGACGGAGCGAAGCCATCTTGTTCGAGATGTACGAGACTTAAGGAGCCCTGTGAATATCGGCACTCTGATGAGAAGCGCAAGTATAATATCATGATCACCACCACATACAATCATTTACATAACAGCCAACATCTGACCAGACTGGCAGACCACCAAGCAAGCGCTATATCCAGTCCTTGCTTTCGCGCATAGAAAGCCTCGAACGACAGGTCGCGCAGTACGAAGGACGGGAACCACTCTCCCCAGGTACCATACCACCACCTCCTCCTCCTCCTCCTCATCATCAACAAGGCCACCATTCGACCCACCTCTCAATGCCCCAAGACTCGGTCCAGGAACTCGTCGACCTATGCGGCGGATTAAGTCTCGGGGAAGGCGAGGAGCTGCGCTTCTTCGACTCGCGCAGCAACCTGGCGATGGTATCCGAGCAGCTCGACGAACGGTGCCACGACCATCTGCTGAAGTTCTCCGCCGATCGAAGCCAGCGGCCCGGCGTCGAGGAGATCGACGTCGGCCCCGCAATCCAGGGGCCGCTGTTGGATCTGTTCTGGCGGTGGCAAAATCCATGGCAGTATCTGCTGCACGAAAGTGCCTGGCGTCGGAGCTATGAACGCCGGGACAATGATTACTGTACGCCCACTCTGCTGTATGCGATGCTGGCGGTGGCGGCTCGGTATTCGGATGAGCCGGCCCTGTCCCAAGACTTCGGCACATATACAGCGGGGATTGGCTTTGCTGCCAAGGCAAAACAGCTGGTCTTTGAAGAGATGGAAGCGCCCCGGGTGTCGACGGTGGTGGCCGCTGCGTTGATCTCGGTGGCGGAGTTGGCGTTGGATATTGAGCCGGCGGGGTGGACGTATATTGGTGGGCTGACCTTTTGGGCTGACTTGTTGGGTCTCTGCTGATAGATGACTGGTCTTAGGGATGGCTGTGCGCATGGCTTATACTTTGGGTCTCCATACTGACCCTCGTCCGTGGGTGGAATCTGGTCGTCTTCCGGCTGAAGATGCGGAGATTCGGTCGGTCGCTTGGTGGGGATGCTACATGATTGAAAAGTTAGTTCTTCCTAGTCAATCGTTAACTAGATTGCTTCTCGAATTTTCTTTCTTTCTTTCTTTTCTTCCCCCATTTCTGATGCCGTACTGACTCAAAGCGAGCAGACTTTATAGCCTTGCGTTGGGTCGGCCGAGCGCATGCATCGAACGGGACATTCACACCCCTTTGCCCGCCATCGTGCCTGATGTCGAATTCAAGGGTTTGGAAGAATCTTTGAAGTCACCATCAGATCAGCATCTGCCCCTGGGCTACTCTATCACCAACTTCCGATATACATGCGAGATGCTCAGGCTGGTCACTGGTCCTCTGGACGAAATGTAAGCCGCCAGGCGGAGGGCAAAATACATTTGGAATACCGCTCATGTCTTTCATAGTTACTCGCTGAGCCCGATGATCTCCCGCGAACACAGAGCAGATATCGTCTTGAAGGCCTCGGTAGCGCTATCTGCGTTCTACGACCGGATCCCAAGTGTGATGCGACTCCCGTCCTCTGGTTTGGGTACTCCCTTAGCCGTGCATATTTATTATTTCCAGTGCATGCCCCCCTTTTCTTTTTCCACTGGATCAAAAGTTCCCACTTAGAGCTAATAGACCATTACCTAGCATCCACTATCACGGTCTGAACATCCTCCTCCATCGTCCATTCATCTCACGGCAGACACGCTCTCCACAGGCCGATAATCAAAGGGGTGTGGATTGTACCCACCTCGAAGAATGTACCCGATCCGCCGAAGCGTTGACGGCGACCCTGAAAGAGGTTGAGAAACATTACTCCCTGGTACGCTGGCTGAGATCATAATTCTATATCCAAGCATTCACAACTAATGATTCGTCTCAAGAGAACGGCCACCATCTCCGTCATCCACCCCTGCCTCACCGCAGGCCTCATCCACCTGTGCAATTGGACCCTTCCGAGCCCCGGTGTGAAGACCCGAGTAAAGAAACATTTCCTGTACATCATGCACAGCCTGTCCCAGATGAGCACCGCGTGGGTGTGGGCACTCCGTGCGATGCGGCTCCTGAAATTAGTCGCGCGTCGTTGGTTGCCACCAGAAGAGTTTACGAGCTTGATGGCGAATGAGCTGGCGTATCTATCGGGAGGGATAGGGGCTGAGGATGTGGTGCCTGTAGTGCAGGGGTTGCCGGACGCCGTGGGTTATGATCCCTGGGCGGCGCCCTTGTGGTCCGAGGGGGACTTGGTTCAGTCGGGGCTGTTGTTCGATCTTGGTTTGTGGGAGAGCGATGGCTTGCTTTCGGGGGAGAGTGGGCGGAGTTGATGACTCGGTGTCGAGATAAATATGTGTCTATCTAGAGCGTCGACATAGTCCATGGTGAAAGTAAGCTTTTCCCGAATCGTACGGTCCGGAAGAAATAAGTATCACAAGACCAGGAAAAGTACCAGCGCAATCGAATTTTGCATAGTGGCTATTAGTTACATCCTTCCTACTAGCCCACCGATAGCGCCACTGTCATGTCCGCCAGACAGGCCAGCCATTTCATTTGGTGTCGCCGAAATCCCTTACTTACTAACTACCCTTCAAGCTCCGTGAACCAAACCAGAAGGTCCGGCGGGGGGAGTGGCTGCAAACAACCCGCACGGACGAAACTCCTCAACGCGGCCCACGGTCTCCAGACGGAACCGCCGCACCACCACGGCGATCTGCCGTTTCATCTGGGCCAGGGCGAGGTCCCTTCCGACGCCGGGGCGCCCCCGAGCGGACTGATCAAGAGCCCGGGCCCCTCGGCCGATCGCTCCAGCCAGCGCTCGGGCCGAAAGGCGGCGGCATCCGGCCCCCACAGGTGCTCAGCGTGGTTGATCGCGCGCGTACACAGCCCCACGAACGTGTTATTGGGGATGAGTTGGTCCCCGATCGTGGTGTCGCGGATGGCCTTGCGGAGCAGGAACGTGAACCCCGGGTACAGGCGGACGGCTGCCATGACCACCGCGTGGACCATGGGGAGCTGGTCGTAGTCCGCGTCGGGACCGTCTGGGAAGCTGGCTAACTCTCTGCGGATGGCGTCCTGGCTCTGGGGGTGGGTGGCGAGGCAGTAGAATACCCACGCGAGGCTGCCACCGGTGCTGTTGGTATTAGGTCTTGAGACAGGACTGAACACTGGCACCTTCGCCTACTTACTTCATCACAAGCACGGCTTATCAGTCTCGTAAGCCAGTCATAATATGCCTCTTCATGCTCGCCGTCGCCAAGATGGTGGAATCGCACACAGCGTTGTTCGCGTGGGGTGGTCGACGTGGGCGAGCTCTGCAAAGCTCAATATCAGCGACGCCTATCAAAGAGGCTGCTCGGAGGATCCCCGAGAGAACGGCTGGGATGCTGGGTCGCAGATTTGGAAGGAATCAGATGGCTTTTGAAGACTGGTGTCAGGGATGTGGATGTGTGGTGAGTTCAGCCACGGAGCGTGCTGTGGCGGGCGGTGAGCGGCCTGGCTTTACCATGGCCTCAAGGAAGCTACAACTGTCTTTTCCGTACTTCAAAGCCTTTCAGTTATTCAGGTAGAGTCTTGTCTTTCGTTAGGATCTCGTATGCTGATACTTACACATTCCACAGAAAAAAACCCTATTCGCAGTATCACGAGTCATGTTAGGAGTAACCCGTAGTGTGAAGAATATCTCGGCTCCTTCGGATAGCAAACCTGGGACGTCACAATTATGGTTCTCGAGAATTCCTGCCCCTATAAAGATAAAGTAGGACCCACTTGGATACAAGCTTTCAGGGGGGGGTAAAGCGCGCTTGGCCTTGGGTGGAACTCGGATGTGAATCGAAAAGTACACTGGCCCTAGGTCCGGAGCTCGAGATACAACAAACATGAATCATAGACAGCAACAGAGTTCAGTACAGTACAGTACATCTGCTATCCAATGCATACAAGCCTGCCAGTCTTTTTTCTTTTTCCAAAATCTGTTGATCTAAATCTCCCTTGGTCCTAATTCCTGTCAACCGACCGACCATCATTCCCATCCATCATTCTTCAAATCCCCCCCCCTCCCCTCCCCCCCAAACACAATGACCATCACAGCAACAACAACCTACCACCCAGTCGAGCCCCTAATCCGCGACCGGGACCGCACGGCCATCAACACGGCGCTGTACCCGCACAACGGCGGCGCCCACGAGATGGCGCGCGAGGGCATCCGCTCGCTCGACGATTTCCTCTGTTTCGCCGACGCACTGCTCCGGTGGGTGCCGCGCGTGACCATCATGGGCGACGAGCTCCTGAACAAGATCGTCGTCTTCTACTGGGTGATCGACCAGCCCGCGCTGCGCGGCTGACAGACCCCCTTCCAGCCCACCACCTCCGCCGCCGACCTCACCTGGCTCAGCTACTGGCTCGTCTGCTTTGCCCGCCAGCAGGGCCAGTTCCTCCACTCCCGCGAGTCGGCGGCCTCGCTGTATACCTTCTATCTGAATGAGCACTACAACAGCGAGGCCGGGGGGTGGGAGGAGCCCGCGGGCGGGTGGCGGTCGTTTAATCACTGGTTTGGGCGGCGGTGGAAGGATGTGGATGCCGTACGGCCGGTGGCGGCGCCCGGGGAGGAGCCGGTCGTGGTGTGTGCGGCGGATGCGGTGGTCGAGGGGTGGTCGACCCTCACTCGGGCGGGGGAGGTGATGGTTCCCCCGACCACGACCATGGTGACGGCAGCGATGGTGGATTGTAAGTCGGTGGTGTGGCCGATTGATCGGCTGTTGCAGGGGATCTCCAGGGCAAGGGAGGTGTTCGGGGGTGGCAGTTTTGTGCATGCTTGTCTCGGGCCGGCGGATTATCATCGGCAGCATGCCCCCGTCTCCGGGAGGATTTTGCAAGTGAGAAATATTCAGGATCAGGTGTATTTGCAGATCGCGAAGAAGAAGGAAGGGCGGGGCCTGCGGCCGGATCGCGGGCTGCGGAGGGATGCCAAGGAGGAGGTGAGACGCGACAGGATGCCGTGTAAGGGCCCGCGCATCCTCGATGCCCCGGACAATGCGGGCTGTCAATGGTGTCAGACGCGGGGAGTGATTGTGATCCAGACGGAGGATTTTGGTCGGGTGGCGGTGGTGCTGATTGGGATGGCACAGATCTCGTCGGTGGTGATGACCGTGCATGAGGGCCAATGGGTGAGGAAAGGAGATGAGATCTCTTATCCAGTTTGGGGGATCGGACGTGGTCATGGTCTTTGAAAACCTGGTACGATTCAGGGAGGATTTGCTGCCGGGGATTTCGCGTCTGAATGTTCGAGAGGAGTTGGCGGTTTTCAAGTGAGTTGATGTCGATCATCAACTCTCTCATAGATGAAGAATGCTGCGCTAACAGAAGGATCATTTTGATGTACACTAGTGAATAGACGTGGTCTCAGATTTGAACATTGTATATGCGTAGCTCTATTCTAACCAGAGTTTATGCAGAAAGGATTCCCTTAACAGTCTTCTCAACATCCTCAATCATCTTCTCCTTCGAGCGACTCGAGTCTAGGACAATCACATCGCTTTCCGATGGACCCGGGCTCTCCAATGTGTTCAGCTGAGAGTCCACCATTGTAGCTCGCATGTAGTGTGCTTCTACCTCCGAACGAGCGGCTACTCGCTCCTTGAGTTGCTCCCCGTCACGGATCGAAAGAAGCACGAATGTGACACTGACAGGGAAATCAAACAAATCCGAAAGGCGTCGCAGCTCATCGCGGTAAGCCGTGCGCAATGCAGAACAGGTCACTGCCACGGCGGGCGCGGTCGAGTGCTGCAACCGATCCATGACTGCACCGCGAATATGTGCTAGCCAATCCCACCGATCCTGATCCTCTAGAGGAGTCCCGTTTGCCATCTTGGCACGCGCCGCTGGGGAATGCAGGTCGTCGCCCTCGATAACGGGGATATTAAACCGTTGCGCCAAAGCCTGGGCGGCAGTACTCTTGCCGCAGCCGCAAGGACCAGTCAGCACAACAACCTCCCGGGGTGTTTCTGGAGCCGACTTTGCCCATTGGGTGCGGAAATATGACAGAAATCGATCGACCAGCTCGAGTGTAAGCCCTCTGGCCTGACGCAACGCCGGGGCAGCCGCTTGGGCTTTCTTAGTGTCGTAGAGAAGAACCCGGCTAGGCGTCCCCTTGTCATACTTGCTGGCGAAGAACTCCACCAACTTGATAGGTGGATTGATGCTGGGATCTGGATTTGATTGCCGAAGACGATGGACCCAGTCGCGGGGAGACAGTGCTTCAAACTTTAAACCAGCCTGGCGGAGGAGCGGAAGGAGGTCTAGCCCCCAGTGATTGAGATTCGGATTAGTGACATTGAGTACATCCCCTGCCACCGGCGCAAGTGTCAAGTCAATAACACTTGCTGCCAACACATCCACGGGAGTCCACGAGAGAATATCATCTAGTTGTGGGAGAGCTCCGATCGTTTCCGCACTTTGGAAGATCATAGGGATTGCTTCGGTGGCATTCCAGATGCCATGAACAGAGTCCGCGATGATTTGCCCCGATCGCAAAACGCGAGCCGTCATCCCCGTTGACTGAGCTGCACGGTTGACGATATGCTCCGTGACAAGCTTAGACTGAGCGTAACCCATTCCCTGTGCGTAAGAGAGCGATTCGGGCAGGGCTTCTGGAACCCAATTGCCTGGAGTTCGGGCCACAGTGCTTACGGATGAGCAGAATGAGAAGCGCGCCGGCTTGGGGCTGCGCACATTGAGACAGAGATCCAGCAAGTGCCGAGTGCCTGCTATGCAGCTCGCCTCAAAGCTTTCCAGGGACCAGTTGAAATTGACAGACCATGCGCAATGCATGACAGCCGTTACTGAGTTCACTAACTGCTCATAAGTCGCTCCATCAAGACCTAGAGTTGGGTCTGAGAGGTTTGAAGGCAGAGCGACTATCTTGTGCTCAGCGGCATGAGCTTGAGCGAGAGACAGTCCCCGCGCTCGTAGTGACTGACGAACTCGCTTGAGAGCTGAGTAGCGAGATTCAGCACGGACTAAGCAATAGATGGTGTGGACATCCTTGCGTTCGGCTAGCTGAGCAATGACATGCGCGCCCAGTGAGCCTGTGGCCCCTGTCACAACAACATGTTCAGCCTCGTCTTCCCTCGAAACAGGAGTGTGAATTCTGAAGTCGGTACTGTATTTCTCGATTAAGCTTTGCATGCGTTCTTCGACCGGAATCTCAGCTTTGGGCTCTTGGCCCAGACGCAAACGAGTGATTTCATCGGCCATGGCTTTGAGGGAAGGATTCTCGAATACAAAGTTTTGAGATAACTTCTGTTGCCCAAGATCGAGCATTCTCATGATAGCGCTGCGTAGTCGGATGGACTGCAGACTGTCCACGCCCAAGCTGAACAAGTCGGTCTGTTCTTCAAGTATGGAAGAATCGATAGACGGTGCAACTGCGAGCAGTTGCTCCCGAAGAAATGCGAGAAGATCGGCCCCTTCAAGAACCTGGTCCCCTGTAGCCTCCTCGGTATCGTAAATTTCGTTGATCTGATCCTGATAGTCTCGGTAAAAGGCTGAGCGAATAACTGTGCCCTTATCCGTTTTCCGAAATTCTGCGTCCGGTGGCAGCACCTTGACCATGTCCCGCGAGATGTAGGCGTAGGCCGGGGACTCTGCATTGCACCGCTCAATGGCAGGGTACACAGCCTCGATGAGCTCCTCTGCGGTTTTAGAAGGAGAAATTCCCGCGGGTATCAAGAATAGACCCAGACGAGGCTTATTTGCTCCGAACGCAATGGCCTCAGCTACATTTGGGTCGTTGCGGGCAACACCCTCGATCACAAGGGGATTGGCCTTTTCGCCATTTTCCAACACCAGTGTGTCGTCCAGACGGGCGTAGTACCTCCAGGCGTTAGGAGTTGTCGGATGTTTCTCGAAGAGGTCTTTCGTAGCATATGAATTGTCCGGTCGGTTGCTGGCTACTTTAGACGGCCAGCCTTCGAGGACACAAAGTTCGTAAATGCCAGGCATCTGCTCCTCCCAACGAACATATGGCAATAAGCTTGGACCAGGGCGGACAAAGTCCCAGTCCAGGTCATCACGTTCGCGGAAGGAGGTCATCAACTGGCCCGTCTCGGTGGTACCGTAATGGGACACGAGGCGAACTCCATTCTGTACCAGCTTGTCACCGATAGGCTTCGGACAAGCCGAACCGCCAAACATCACCAGCTCTAGCCGAGCCATCACCTGAAGACCCTCAGGTGACTCCGATAACAGTTTCAGAGCGTATGGGACGGCGTAAAGGACCTGGATTTCTTGGTGCTCCTGGAGGGTTGTGAGAAGATGAGTGGCGGTCAAGGGAAGCTCGGCGTTGTAAAGATATATGAGTTTCTGTGAGTGGACTGCGCGGAACAAGCAACTAATTCCATGAGCGTGGAAGAGGGGCAGGGTGATGAATCCGCATAAGCCGAAGTTATTGGCGTAGTTCTTGAGAGCACCGGCATGTGTCTGGTATATGGGTTTGGGATGTCCTGTTGAGCCACTGGAATGGATGATCCAACAAACATGCTTATTCTCGATTTGCCCATCCAGATGAGCTGATGGTAGCGCCACTGTACCTGTGGTAGTGTTGTCATAGTCTTCACGGCTCAGTAATTGCTGAAGGCTGATGCCCGTTCTTTGTGCCACTTTATCACCCATGGCGAGGAAGGTGGTGTGGGCGACGAGATATGACGCCATGGTGTTTTCGGCGAGGCTGACGTAGGCATCTTCGGCAATGCGAGTGGATAGCAGGAGCACCGTATGTCCTAGTCTTGAAAGAGCGAGCAATGTAATCAAGTACTCAAAATCCGAGGGGCCCAACAAGCCGACCACCTGAACTGGGTCTTCGGACGAACATCGCTGGGGAATGGTCTTGGCATAATGAACTGCTGCTGTTTCGACAAAGGTATTAAGCTAATGAATCTGGTGTTAGCGATTGAGAAGCTATTCACGGGTGAACGTGCGGTTCACCTGTTGGGGGCTATAGTAGACGTAGTTGGTGCCAGATGACGGATAGGCAACAATAGGCTCATGACCAAGACGTCCTTTTGCTCTTGTCTGAAGTAGATGATTTATTGTGTCGAATTCCTCTTCCAAGCTATCTAGCTCATTGACAGAGGTGGCTGGCGAAGCAACGCTCACGGGAGTCAGACTGGTTGGAGGTGAAGGAGTTGGCGTTGGAACCACAGACTGTAATACTGCAGATGCCATGATGAGTGCTTGGTTTGCAACAAAAATGACAGAAATGGAGTGAGGCAAGAGGTACGTTTATTCTTCTATCTTATGCCATTGTCCTGGTACCTGGATGGCCGCAGGACTTTGGCCGGATTCTGTCGGTCGGCCATTTTCCGGACCGATTGCATCAGAGGATCAATTCGGAGATGTACCCCGCGGTCGTAGCATCCAAGGCTGAGGTGGAGACATTGCAGTCATGGGATGTGCGCAAGTGGATTCGAATGAGGAGGGAGGGGTTGGAGGAAAACCAACAACCGAGGCGTGGGGAAATCCGCTGCTTTTCCGCCATGGTTTCCGCAAAGTGCCGCCGCGCTGCTGCCGCTGCCGCTCTCTCCCTGGGCTGGTATGTCACGTGGTGTCCGTGGATCAGCTCAGTCAATTTGTGCATGGATATGTCCTAGATTAGTCATTACACACTTGATACAACAGCTATCTACAGTCGATAGCTTAGCACGGCATAAGCAAGATGGACAAGCGATACGACGTATGGAGTCCATGTACTCTCTGTTCAAGTGTTTATGATTTTTGAAAAGCAGGTGCATTTTATGCTCTACTAGTAAGTGAGCATCTATGCTAGGATACTTCTGTATGTAGTGTATACTATTTTCGAGTCCGTACGAGGAAATGTGATGTTGAGAATATAGGTATGATGTTCAAGAATACGTACCGGTATAGATAACCCAAGTCAGGAAAACACCCCAGACTTATCCATACAAGCTATACTACGCTGACAATTCTATTCATAGATCAAGTCACCTGATCTGAAGAAAGGCGTTAACAACGCCAATGACAAGCATCGCTACTGCCGTTTATGTCGAGTAGTTGACTCTAGCCACTCATTCGTACCCGTATCGGCCCTCTTACACTCTGCCTGTTCTATGAAAAAAGCTTATGTATCTCCGACTATTATGCAACTGATACACTCAGCAGAGCTGAGCAGTCCGTGACAGGATGTCTTACGATGACGAGCCCTTCGATGACTGCGACGAGCCGTCCTATGATGACCAGTACTATGATGAGCCAGATTAAAGTGATCCATACTACGATGGGCCGGATTATAGCGACCCTTACTATGAAGGGCCATATTCCAATGACGAGCACTACGATGAGCCAGACTGTGAAGACCCATACTATGAAGAACCAGCTTATGATCCATCCAACTACCACCCATCTTATGGAGAAGAGTACTATGATCGACCGCCTTCTGGAGATCAGTACTGTCATGAGCCGTATCCTGATGACCGATACTTCGATGAGCCATCTTTCGAGTATCAGTACTCGGAAGAGCCACCCTTCGATGATCGGTCCTTCGATGAGTCACCCTCTAATGATCAATACTCAGATCAACCTTCCTTCGATGACGACAAGCTTGATGGCGAAGACTTCGACGGCCCCCCTCACAATAATTAGCGGTTCGAAGAACCTCCGCTCAATGGGCCTTGCTCAGCTGGGCCACCGCCCCACCGCCAAAGCTACGCTTCACTTACTCAAGGAGTCGCGAGCCGCCTGTGAATGTCACATGTGTGAATCAGGTGACTGTCAACATTCAGCATTTCCACAACCTGTCTGTTCACGTACACCCCGTCGCAAACACGACCTTCTCTGCCAGAACACCAGACTCTGAAAATCAGCACCCCGGGAATCAACAACCCAGGAACCAACAACCCAAGAATCAGCGGCCCAATAACCACCCGAAGGGCCAGTTCGCTCGTGAGGAGTACCGCAAGAAGCAACCATCCACCAGGCAACCTGTCCAGAAACTGCTCTGCGACGGAAATTCGGTTGAGAAAAGGTCCTCTGATAAGATGTCCTCTGACAAGATGTCCTCCGACAAGATGTCTTCTGAAAAAATGTCCTCTGAAAAAGCGTCCTCTGACAAGATGTCCTCTGAAAGAATGCGCTCGGACGACGCAATCACCGATAACATGCCCTCCCACGAGAAGTCCAATGAAGCAGCTTTGGACGAAAAGGCCACCGATAAACAAGCCTCGAGCCCCTCCTCTGCTTCTACCCATCCTTCTTCCCCGACTCATCTCCAATGTCTCTCCAGTCCAGTCGAGGTAGCCCTCCTTCAAATCCGGAAACAGATACTTTACTAATACAGCAAGCAGACCCCATCTCTCAGTTCCGCACTGATATTCTCGGCTGGTCTCTACGTAACAAAATATCATCCGAGACTTTCGCCCGACTGTGTGATATCCTTCGTGTCGTCGACAGCCCTGAAACCAAATCACTGCCGAACAGAGAGGATATCTTCAAGAAGAAGGAGGATAAAAGACTGAGATCGGACAGTCGGGGTAGCCAGTCGTCTGCTGAGTTGAAGTGATTGTATGGAAGGCAGGGGATTTGCATGTGATATTGCGCGGACGAACAGGCGCACGGCGTATGAGGATGAAGGGGGCTTTACTAAGCATGTTTTATCTACTAATATCGCCTGATATTGCTCGATTATTCAGTCAAGCTCAATAGCTTAATAGTGTCAAAATTCCAATGAAGACTAATCCCTTCCCTACGGAACTTGTCTCGTAGAACTGTACTTTATGAAGCATCTACACGTTACCCTGCAAAGCAATAGCTTCTCTTAACCTGTCAATTCCACCGACAAACAACCAGAATAGCTAGCAACCGCAGTACACGTCTATGAAAGTACCTCCATCCATCAAAACAAAGTCTATCAAGCACGAACCAAGACCAAAATCAAACATTAAACTTCACCAAATTCTCCTCCGCAGCCTCCACCGCAGCCCGACGCACCGCATCCTCCCCGACCTCCCCAAAGATATCACACCCCCACCTAGCGGGGAAATTAAACCTCTTCCCCTTTTCGAGCGCATCCAGCCTCCGCATCACCTCCTCCCCCAGCCGTCTGACGTGAAGATTCGCCCGGATCCGCGCGGGGGTGACACTCTTCGACAGCACGGCCGTGCCGCGCTGCACGCCCCAGCTCAGCAACACCGGCCCGGCATCCAACCCGACCTCTTCCGCAACCGCCTGCACGACTGGATCGTCGACGGCGCGGGGCTCCCCGCTCTGGTTGTTGCCCAGCGGCGAGTACGCCTCCACCAGGATGTTCCTCTGCTGGCAGTATTGCAGCAGCTCCGGCTGCTGGAGGTACGGGTGCGCCTCGATCTGGTTCACCGCGGGCACGACCTCCACCTTGCCCAGCAGGTCGTCGAGCCGCGCCGTCGTGAAGTTGGACACCCCGATCGCGCGCACCTTGCCCGTGGCGAGGAGCTTCTCCATTGCTTTGTAGGTGGTTATCGGGTCGGTGGGGGAGAGCTCGAATACCCCGTTTTGGTCCAGGGGGAACCATTTGGGGCTGGGTTTGAAGGCCCTATACTCTCATTATGTCTGTGTGTTAGTGTGGGGCGTTGCTGATTGCGGGAGTGGGGAGGAGGAGGTGAGAAGGAGGAGGGGAGGGGCTGAGGGGGAGGGGCTGAGGCCGAGGCGAAGGGCACATACACAGGCCAATGCATCAGATACAGGTCCAGATACTCGACGCCCAAGTCCTGCAGGGTCTTGTCGAGCGCGGGCTCGACGTCCTCGGGCGAGTGCTTGGTGTTCCACAGTTTGCCCGTGATGAAGATCTGGTCGCGCGCCACGCCCGCCTTGCGGATGCCGGCGCCCACTTCCGTCTCGTTGCGGTAGATGGCCGCGCAGTCGATGTGGCGGTAGCCCTGCCGCAGGGCGACCTCGACCGCCTGCTCGACTTCCAGGGGCTTGGCTTGCCAGGTGCCAAAGCCGACGGCGGGGATGGCGGCGCCCGTGTTCAGGGTGAAGTGCGTGGGGAGGGACATGGTGACTGGTTGGGGGAGAAGAAGAAAAAAAAAATGCTTGTTGGAGATCGAATTGACGTGGGGAAGGGGGCCTTGCAATATAACTTTTTGGCTGGAGCGTCGAGTTCACAGAGGTAATGTATGTACTAGGTAGATAGGTACAGTACCTAGTATACTCACTCCGCAACCGAAAAGAGTAAGTGGGTGGGCGGTCTGCGGTCGGATTTCCGCCCCCCGCAGCCCTAACTGCGACGGAAAAGCGCGCAGCGGAATTCATGGAACGCGGCGAGAGCCAATCCACCATCCCACTCTCTGCTTCTTCTCCCCAACTCCTCCCCGCTTTTATTTTCCAAGGTACAGCAGCTAGCCTCCGCTTTGATACTCGGTTCGGTTTCACTGGCAAGGAGGTGGGTCTTGCCACTATGGCAATTACGGTAAGTAGCTATGAGATCAGAACAAGCATTGACATCGTAGTCTCTGCTAGAAATACAAGTGTTGTCGTGTTCGGCCTGTTTCGACCAACAGAAGCATATCATGACAGTTCTACTATGCGCACGCTTCTCCTCCTCCAACCCAACAGGAATACCTCACTTATATGAGACACGACCATTCTCCTTAGCCCATAAGAACAATCGGACCCTATAGCTAATAAGAGTACCGAAAGTACATATTCTCCTTATCCGTCAAATCCACCTGCTCCGCAGCATCATCTAACCGCACTCCCTCAGCAGCCACGACCGTATCCCTACGCTTGTTGAGCCACGCCATGTAAGCCGCAAAGACAAGCAGGAGGACAATCTCCACACAGTACGCCACTAGCATCGTCACAATGCCCGACGTATACGCCGGTGCCTCGTTACTCTTGAAGCTGAACGGACCCACAATGTTCCCCACGCAGTACGCGATAAAGAAAACGGCGTTGACCGTCGACCGTTTCGTTGCGCCCGCCGTGTTGGCCGTGATGAGCGACATGATCATCGCGAACGAGGCGGTGTATGTACTCGTCAACTAGATAGCATTAGCATTTCTTTTTCTTTTTCTTGCGGTGTGGAATGACCGTATAATAAATAGCTCACCCAGTAACACACCAGCAACGCCATGGAATGCGTCCTGGTTATCGTATGCAGTCCCACTGCCCCTGCCACGGCCGGACACACGTAGAGACAAGCCACGAGGCAGCGTTTCTGGCCGGGCAGCCAGCGCTGGAGATACATCGCGGAGACGTTGGAGACGAGAATGACCATCCCGTACGGGATCTGGAAGAGGGTCGTCACGAGGTTTGAGTACCCGAATCCCTCGATGATCAGGCTACCGAAGTTGCTGGCGGCCCCGTTCACGACCTGGGTGCACACGCCGCAGAGAAAGAACAGCCACGTCTTGGGGTCAGTCAGTGCTTCCCAGATCTGATACCGCTTAATCTCGTGCACAGGCTCCCCCGAATGGGCGGGACCAAGGCGCCTGACCACAACTTGCTTTTCTTCTTCGCTCAGCCACGAACTAAGGAGAGACGCGTGAGCGTGAAGAAACAACCGTGCATCGGTGCAAAACAGACTCACGCATCATACGGCCCGTCTGCCAGCGTGAACATCATGAAGGCTCCCCATCCCACCGAGACTGCGCCAAGAATGATGAACTGGTACTGCCAGGACGCGAGAGAGCCGTGGATATGCCCGATCAGGAACGCTAACAGACCACCAAAGGAGTTGGCTACGCCCAGAAAGGTCGACCACCATCCGATCCTAATGGGCTGCTCTTCGATCGTATACCAAGTAGCCGTGATCAGAAGGTAGGCCGGAGTGGAGCACGATTCCAAGCCTCCTAGCAGGAACCGCAGGGCCAAAAAGCTCTGGAACCCATGGCATGCTGCGAGAGCCATTGTGATCCCACCCCAAATGATTATATTCGCTGCGAGCCATTTCGGCACTGAAAGCTTCTGCATCACCAGACTCGATGGAGATTCGAACTGTGGGTTTGCATCATGTCAGCAAACCAGCCATGTGCCTAGGCAGAAACTTGAGATGATTGACATACCGCTAAGTATCCGAAATAGAACATACTCGCTGTCATTCTTCAAGTCAGTATGGATGAAGTGGCTAGAGAGGTGATCAACTTACCTAGCCAGCTATACTCATCTCCCTTCAGGTGCAGATCTTCTTTCAACCCGAAGACAGCTGCATATCCCAGCATCGCCTTGTCTATGTACGTGATCAGGTAAGTGATGCAGATGAAGGGAATCACGAAGCAATCGATCTTCCGCACCACCCTCGCCCGTACTACTGGGTCGATGGAGTTGGGGTCTCGATACTCTTTTGATATATCCGGTTTGCCCTTCTGGATAGGTTGATTGGCAATATCCTCGACATGGTCTGCAAGGCTCTTGGACATGGTGCCCGACTATCTTCAGCGTCAGTTTGAATGGTAGATTGAGCAGAAAAGGGCAGTAGTAAAATTCCCGCGTATAGGATAACCCCATTGACCAGAGTGACTGGAGCATAGGACGCTTGAGACCCCAAGCAACCCAAGGGCTGCTCTTGGATATGACGCACGGATCCTACCGTCACTCTCCCCCGTGGGGCAGGCTCCCCGTGGGGATACGGTCGAAGCTCATGCCCATGCGGAAATGGAGTCACTTGAGCGACTACTGAAGTCTAACCTGATCCAAGCTTCAAAGCTTAGGGAGCATTCCCGCGTGGAGAAGAACCCGACGCGCCGGATACGCGTCGGAAACTCCGCGGAAAATGAGCGGAGATGGAGATGGAGGGGTAAGTTGGGCGGGGCAAATATCTGATCCGGGTTTCGGTGCCGACCTTGCCTCTATGCACTCGTGACAGGACTCTCTAGCTCAGATCGACAGATATGATGGCATTCAGATAGATGATGTCCATCCCACATGGGGTGTGGTACCCGTGCCATTGAGTTGGGTCTAAGCATATTTTCTTGCTCATATCGGGTGCAATACATTGCTCAGTCTCAAAACTTGTTAGCAGTGACATATCCGCTGAACTAAGGATGAACTCCACTAGATTTAAACTTTTCGTATTGAATGATGACCAGCGGAGAGCGGAGATGGACGAACCCAAGATGCCAATGTCCCGCGTCTGGGGTTTCCCCCGCATGCGCCGCTAAGCGAATTGCGAGTCCCGCATTTCCCCGGGTTGTTGTCTGATGCGGCACTCATCAGAACCGGGGTAAATGTGTCCTTATACTACCCAAAATAAGGTATATAAGCCCTAGTCCATTGAGTCGGTGCCTGTGTAAATGCCCTTCTGCTGTGACCAAGGCCGGCATGTTTTTCTATCTATATATTTCTTTCATCGATTGACCCGACTACTTGTGCTCATTGCTCTCGCGTGATTCTTTGCATTCCCAGTCATTCCATCTGATTTGTGGAGGCTCAAATCTTCCATACCTTCTTGAACCAGCAACATGGCGGATGTCGACAAAGCATCATCATTCCATGTAGAATCGACCACGAAACCGTACGATGACCGGGTATCAGAGTCCTTCGAAGGACTATCGGCCGAAGAGACACAGGCACTAGAGAAAAAATGTTTGATTGCACCATTGACCTTCCTTCTCATGCTGGAGTCTGGACAAGCTAATGCCCGCACAGTGGTCCGGAAGATTGATATCCACCTGATTTCATCACTATTCCTCTTGTTCATCTTCAACATCCTCGATCGCTCGAACATTGCCAATGCCCGTCTCGGGGGGATGCAGGAGGACCTCCATCTGTCGGATACCCAATATCAGACAGCAGTGGCCATTATGGTAAGTCGCACTCGAATGTGTCAACCTTGCATGTCAATATGCTCATAAAATCCTCGCCATAGTTCGTCGGGTATCTGCTGGGTCAGGTCCCGAGTAACATTCTCCTCACCCGCCTGCAGCCCTCGCGGTACATTCCGACGGCAATTTTCATCTGGGGCGGCATCTCGCTCTGCACAGCCGCCACCAAGAACTTTGCCGGGATTATGTGTGTGCGAGTCTTTCTCGGGTTCGCCGAATCGCCGTTCTTCTCCGGAGCATTGTATGTATCCTGCCCATGACAGCTTTGTTGTAGTGTGGCTGACCCCTCAGCATAGACTTCTGATTAGTTCCTGGTACAAGCCATCGGAGATCGCCGTGCGGGTAGCGTTGGTGTATTGCGGAAACACGGTGGCCAACGGGTTTGGCGGCCTGCTTGCCGCGGGTATCATGGATGGGCTGAATGGAAAAGGCGGTCTCGCTGGCTGGAGGTGAGTGATTGTCCGGTTGCCTCTAAGATAAAGCGAGGCAATGACATACGACGATGCTAATAAAAGCAACATAGATGGCTCTTCATCATCGAAGGCGCGGGCACGATGGTAGCCGGTCTACTGGCGGTGGTGCTTCTGCCCGACTTCCCGCGCTCGGGGCAGCGCAAGTGGCTGAACGAGCAGGAGCAGCGGTTCGCCGAATGGCGCCTGGCGCGCGCGGCCAACGATGAGGTCGATGAGAACGGGTCCGTCAAGGAGGGCTTGAGAGATGCCCTCACCGACCCGAAGGCATGGATGCTGATCTCAATCCAAATCTGCCAACTCACCTCCCAGAGCTGGACTTACTTCTTCCCCGTACGTCAGGATCCAACCCCACCCCCCACCCCCCCGGGACAATCAGACTCTAATGGATTGCTGCAGACCATCGTCAAAACCCTCGGGTTCGACAACACAATCACCCTCCTCATCACGGCTCCCGTGTACGTCTTCGGGTTCTTCACGGCGCTGGGAAACTCCTTGATCGCGAACCGCACGAACCACCGCGCGATCCTGATCATCTGGCCCCTGTGCGTGGATATCGTGGGCAACATCATGGTCATCTCGTCGCGCGCCACGGCGGTGCGATACGTCGGGATGTTCCTGATGTGCGCCGGGTCGTACTCGGCGTTTAACGTCGTGCAGGCGTGGATCGCGAGTACGATCCCCCGCACGCGGACCAAGCGCGCCATCGTGTACGCGCTGGTGAACCTGTTCGGCAACTCGTCCAACATCTACGGCTCCTACTTCTTTCCCACCTCAGACGGGCCCCAGTATCGGCCCGGTGGGATCACGCTTTCGTCCTTCGCCGCGGCGGGGATTGTGTTGACGTCGTTGTTGGCCGGCTACCTCCATCTCCTCAATAAAAGGGCCAAGAAGGCCGAGGAGCGGGACGGTCAACAGCGCTATAGGTATATCTGGTAGATAGCGGGAGGGAACTGAGGAAAAGTGAATCGCTTTGCCATGAGCATTGTGAATTCGTCTTGGAGAATCCCAACAAGTGATAACATACGAATATTGCCTCTCATCTACCTTCACTGTGTAATGAGCACGCGCTCTCTTCATTTCATGTGGAATCGAACACACTAGACCCTGCGCCAAAAGGCGGACTCACTTCGTGTGATCGTCCTATCGTAACATCGATCCGCATCAGTGGAGTTTGGTCAATGGCTTCTCCGCCTTATCTTAGTTATAGTTATAGGCGACTCGATCCCAAGTGACAAGCGGTTATCCGAGCATAGTAGCTGAGAAAATCTCTCTCGGGTGCAGCAGAAGGCTAGGAACAGCAGAGTTTTCTCTGAAGCACAGAGCATTCAGATCAGAAGATCGACAAAGGTGCGCGCAGCTTGTCCCGGGTGCTCACAAGTAGCGAAACCGGCTGTGCTCTTTCTATCAACCTCTCAAACACGCGATCAGTGCACAGCACGTCCAGTGCAGTATATGCTTTACCGACAGCGGATTTCATGACCGTACCCATCAGCAGTAAGACCTGGAGCAGGAACGAGATCCTGTAGCAAGTACCATCGTACCATCGTCAAATCACACTCCCGAGTCGGATGGATACCTTAGCTGCAACTGGGGCCGAAGTAAGTACGGTCACGGGTCGCCTCCGAAACTACCAGATTCCCCGGGCGGGACTAACTTACAGAACGAGCATAATTAGTCATCTCCTGCATTGGTTAACTTAGTAGTTAGACTCATGATCATCACTCATGCCACGATTTGCCCGAGCCTCAATCCATCACAGAGCCACAAACCAGAAGGAAGATTGCAGGAGACATCGCTAAGGAACCGATACCCGCCACTCATCTTAATCAAATTACTCAACCAGTCAACCGTACACTCATCACCACCCTCCAATAACAGAGAAAAGCCCCACCGGAACTCCATCCAGCACATGAGTGTAATCTTTTCCCGCGCGGCAAGTTAGCATCGCATCGTAGCCGAGCAGGTTACCAGTTACCCTGACAGTGTTCGAGAAACCTTGAGTGGTCTATCATATCAGAATTGTCCATTCGGCATCGAGAACGAACCCGACCCGAAACATCAGCCAAGCTGGATATTCTCGGCGGACCCCAAAACACCAAGCCCGCATATACCCGACTCGACAATTCACCTCTCGCTTCGGGACTCGCTCGGGGAATGTGCCATGCCCCGGCCACCGTGGACCACCTCCGGATTGGGAAGCTAAGTCAATCAGTCGGGTCGGCAGGAGATCCGCCGAACTGGAAGGTTGCCTAGCACTCCAGGCTGCAAGTACCATACTAACCAACACAATACACTACGGTTGGTCTATCGTATCGTACAAGCGTAATCGGTATAACGAACGAAACAGACGTTCACAATTGTTAGGCTGCAAGAAAAACACTTAGTTACTGCAAAGCATAAATACTGAGGTGATGATACAAGTCAATGGATACTTGAGTCATGGCCCCGGAATTGAGTTTCTGGGCTGCGACGCTCCGTCCTGTTGGGTTGAATTGACGGGAATTCTCCTCGTGGGGATGGATGGGTTCAACTAACAAAATGGGGAAAAGAAACTTTATGCAACGGGCGGAACGGGCGGTCTGTGTATGTGTGTGACACTGACCGCTTCCGGTTGTACAGTGCTGTACATCACGTCATGACTTTCTTTGTTGAAGACATTTTTTGGAGGAAGAAGAAAAAGTCTAAGAAACTCTAGATATTCCCATTACCCAATAGTACGGAGCTGAAGTGACATGGAGTTATTAAAGAAGAAAAAAAGATACCGTTCATTGATGCATGCCTTGCATATTGCATCTTCATCATATGAGAAAAAAATCAATCGCAATCTAAATAATAACATGACACAAAAAACACTCGAGACAAAGAATCGGTCTGCTTTCTGGTTCTTTAACTGCCCAGGACAAGCGACAACGATGGATATCAGTAGTCCAAACCCGTAAAGCCGTAACAATATGGTGGTAGGTGGGTGGGGGAAAGATGAAAAAGATGTCTAACATCAATGTACTTGATCAATCAAACATGATGTATGAGAAAATGGGGAATGAGAAGATAAAAGAAAGAACCCAGCCCAGATGCCAGGTTCCTTGTTTTTGATTGGTTGTAGGCGTCCCGTTTACTCAACAGCGGAGGCGTTCTCGCTGTGGAGGACAGGGTTGACCTTGGGGTTCCACTTGAACTTGAACTCCTGGCCCAATTCCTTGCGGACGGCGGCCTTGACAGCCTCGAGCACGTTGGGGAAGACACCGAAGTTGGCCGGGTTGTTGTCGTCGTTGTCACCGCCCTGGAAGACACCGGTGCGGACCAAGCAGGTGTTCCAGCCGTGCATGTTACCACCGCAGATGTCGGAGGCCGGGTTGTCACCGACCATGTAGATGTTCTCGGGCAGCTTGTTCTCGTTGTGGATCTCCTCCATCCACGACTTGAGAACCTCATCGGCGTAGGTGTAGGTGGCGCGCTCGGGCTTACCGTAGACAACACGCTCGAGGTCGACACCAGTGAGAGCCTTGTACTGGGCCTCAATGGAGATACGGAAAAGACCCTGGGTGAGACGGGGGGGACCCTTGTGGTCGGTGGGCATGAGCAAGTCACCCTGCGAGAAGTAGATGGGGATGCGGGAAGCGACAGGGTCCTTGGCACGGGTCAGGAGCTTTCCATCCTCGGCCAGCAAGAGATCCATGATGAGCTGCATGTCGGTCTGGTAGTCGCGAGAGTCGGCAAAGACCAGGATAGCGTCGAACTTGACCTGGGAGAAGTCGCGGGGCTTGGCCTCGGCCTTCTCCTCCTCGGAAAGGGTGCTCCAGGGAGAGACGGTGGGGTCCCAGGCCTGAATATCCTTGGGGTGGATGACGTTCTTGAAGCCGTAGTTCTCAGCGACCTCACGGATCTTCTGACCCTCACCACCGAGAACCAGGACAGTCTCGTAGTACTCAGCCAATGCCTGCATTGGGGTGTGGGACTGGATGAACTGGTCGGTGGAGATGGGGCAGTCGAGGACCTCGGTGAGCTGCGCGCAGCGCGCCTCCTCGGTCTTACCACCACCGTTGGTCAGGAGGATGTAGGGAATCTTGATGCCCAGCTCGTTGTCGCCGTTCAGCATCTTGAGGGCCTCCTTGGCCTGGGGGATGGCGTGGTTACCGTGAGCCAAGACACCGTCAATGTCGAAGGCGAAGGCCATGTTCTTGGCGGCGGCGACCTTCTCCTTGGACATGTCCTGGACCTGGGAGGCCAGGATATCCCGGGAGACATCTCTCGTGACAACGGAGGACAACCGCGAGACACGGGGAGATCTGGGGATAGGCAGGGAGGTGCCGAAGGAGTTGCGAGAGGCACGACGGTCCCGGGAAGAGGGAGCAAAGCTCAGGTTGTGCATGAACTGAGCAGCATCACTGATGGAGCTGCGGGTAGCGGGGACCTCGACGGTGTTGCCGGAGAGATCACCGGGAATGGGGAGGGAACCGCGAGATTCGCGGTGGGTAGGGGCAGGAGCAGTAGGGTCAACCCCTTCAGCGTCTTCGATGCGAGGCATGATGATGGGTAAGTTTTTTGACTGGTTAAGAGGCGGAGGAATTGAGTTTCGAGGTTGAAGAACCAAAGAGCACCACCAGGGAGACTGAGGAGGAAGAGAGAGTTTAAAGCGTACACCGGAGAGGTGAGGGAATGATGATAAGAGACGGGGGGGGATGATATCACTCCTATTATAAGATGAAAACCAGGAATTGAACCGAAGAGCTCTTCACCTGGAAGGAAGTGGTAGTGATTGAAGAAGAAGATGAGAATGGATAGAAGGATGACGGAAGGAAAGAAGAAAAAAGAGGAGGGCAGAGCTGGGATCATATATAACAAGCTTTGAAGAGCGATAGTGGCGGACCAGCCGAAGTCATTGAACTAGAAATGGGGGATGTTTCTGATGGATGGTTCAACGCATTACTGAGGGTGTTACTGCTGGGATGGTACGGCGTACTGCAGTCGATACGTAGGAGGAATGATAGTGGAGTCGATGGTGGTGGTGCTGGTGGTGCTGGTGGTGGTGATGGGGTGCATGTTGCTGCTGCTGCTGCTGCTGCTACTGCTGCTACTGCTGCTAATGCTGCTACTGCGGGTTTACTGCCCTCCATCCGCCATCCGCAGTTACTCGAATCCACAATCCGGGCTCCACCGGGGCGTATCATCATCCCTAGGAATTATCGTCATCACTCACACATGGATGGTGATTAGTGGTGATAGGGAGGAGCGGGGCCAGCGGAGTCGGTAGGGAATCGACCATTGGTGAGCAGAGCAGTGGAGTCTTGGAAAGATCCATGGTAATCTTTCCACTCAAATACCACCCGGACCCTGTTCGGTACCATACCGCCCAGCGTGTCATCCCCGCTGACAGGCAAGAAATCAGAAGTACCGAGTCGTAATAGGAGGTACTGAACGGTATCAGAATGAGGGATTTTGCTCCACCCTCATCACCGCCGCGACACATCTGCAAGTCTGCAACAAGTCTGCAGTTCCCTTGAGGCTATCACTGACCATCATTGCCATCACCACCACAACCACCACTACCACCACCACTACCACACCACCTTCGACGGGCGGGGCGGAACAGGGCTATCCTGTGGCATCACCGCCAATAACTAATTTCCATTGCAGGACGAACCCCCTAGATGCCTAAGACTAGTTCAGCAAAAGGGGGGGCAGAGGATCCTCTTTTCCGACCGGCATGAAGCCACAATGCATGGCCAGTGGACAGGAGGGGGCAGAACAGACCCAGCAGGTGTCTTGGACGGGGGATAATTGGGTCAAGGTCAATACCCTCAGCCATGGGTGAGTCTGAGATCGGTGGAGCCGATGACGATCGAGCGGGCAGTAGCGGGTCTCCAAACGCTCGCGCCGTTTCGCTCTGAATTATGAGCCGGTGATGTCATGGGTTTTGGATTGGGATTGGCCTGAAAATACGCAGTGGGGAGGGGAGGGGGGCAGGCAGGAGGAAGACGAGGAAGAGGAGGAAGAGGAGGGGAGCCCGAGGGTTTCAAGACGGGTTTTCACTGCAATGCCGTCATGTTGCCGGGTGAAGCTCGCTCCGGGAAGAGAAACTAGAGAGGATACTAGGTAGGAAGAGCTTCGGTGGAGGAGCTACCTACCTAGTACT